AGCGCTAGCGCGTTAAATACCTAAGTTATCTCCTCTACTACTTCTATAAATATAGTCTTTAAGCTAATAATAAGGGGAACTAGCTAACCCTCTACTTTAAAGGTAACAGGTACTTAGCTAAGCGAATCTACTAATTCACTAAAGCCCTCTTATTTCACGCGACTATTAGAAAACTCCCGGACTATCTTATTAGATATATAAATCTTAGTAGCTATCTTAACTAAGTTATTAAACTTAATTATACCTAGCTTATTAATATTAACCTTATTCTTACGTATTACCTTCCTACGAATATCCCCTAGTAGCCTGTTTAAGAACTACACTCCCCGAGTATAATTTTCTAACTAGCCCCTTTTTACTAAGGTAGCTAATATTATAATAAATTATTAAATAAACTACTTTATATCACTTTCTATAGTTCGCGGTTTTAACTTCAGAGCCTTAAGGAATAATTAGGAGTTTATCTATTAAAAAGTATCCTAATCCTTATACTTCTCTAAAAGAGAGACTACTAGCTCTTCCTAATTCTTACTTATCTACTCTAGTAATATCTTAATATACTAACTAATAGTGAGATTATAATATCAGGGAAGCTGTTTAATTTAGTCCGTATCCTTCAATTAGGCGTTATCGCACTAATCGGTATACTATTCTAAGAACTCTATAATATTAGCTCCCTTAAAGTATAACGCGCCTAGTATACCCGGGGCCGGTATAACTAAAATATACCTAACTTCCGCTATCCTAGAATTCATAGTCCTTAATTCTTAATAGCTTTCCTCCCGGACTTAAATATATTCTACTATATTACTTTCCTCTATACTTAGTGTTCTCTAGTTCTTAGGATCTCCTAGAAATATAGTTATATTAAGGAATTCAGTAAATAATTTAAACCTTTAATACTCGCTTATAAGGTATAATATACCTAACGTTACTAGAGTTAAAAGTACTAGAGTTACTAGTAAGAGCGTAGTAATTATACTCCTTATAACCTCTAGACTTAGCTCCCTTAACTACTCTGATCTCCTTAACCCCTTTTCCTCGTATCCCTTTTTTACCTTACCTTAGGCCTCTTTTTTATATTAGACTTGCTTTCTTTTTATATTTATCTATTCTCTACTTGTTTTCCTTAAATAAACTTTCTCTATTACTATAGTAACCTTGTCTTCTAAACCTATTATAATAACTTTCCTTTCTATACCTCCTTAGCTCTCTTTACCTATATTCCGCTATTTCCTGATATCCTATCCGCTAAATAAGGGCTCCCTAAGCCCCTTTTTTCTAGCTATTTCCTATGTATCTATCTATTACTATAACTAAGTTACTAAGTGATAAAATTCTAACTCCTACCTTTACTACTAGCTTAGCTATATCCTAACTATTCCTCTGCTTTACTTCTAACTCCCTGTGTTAATCACTAATATAAAAAGGTAAGGTAGTACTATTAAAGTATATAATAAGTAAGGATATAGAGGACTACTAACTAAATAAGTAGTAAGAGTAGGAGAGAGAAGATAATATATTCGTTACGCGCTATCGCGCCTATCTATATAACCTTACAGAATAAGCCAACTATCTTCCGACCCAGAACCATATTACCCCACCATAATATACTTAAAGCTACTAAGCGCTTAAGACCTAACGCTATTAGTTAGTATTAACTCTTATTATAGTTTAGGTAGTATTATCTATACTATTTATATCGCTTCGCTTACTATTATAAAGCTAAGTAAGGGGGTATATTATGTACTTAGTGTACCTAAAGCACTCCCTAAGGCGCTTTAGCTAACCAGAGGCTACTTATATAACTAGAACTCCTAGAGCTTCCCCTTATAAAGGAGCTCTAGAATACCTTAATAAATTAAGACTTTCATACTATATAAAGCTCCTCCCTATAGTACACGATAACTCTTAAAGTGGATAAAAGCTTAAGAAGATAGTGTTAATAACTACGATAAGTTAGATAATAATAAGGAATTAAATAGACGCTTAAGGATAAGCTTTTTTCAGATAGGAAGGTAATATAATACCGCGTAATATATAGAGTATAAAGACCTCCCTTTTGCCCTTAGCTAGCTTAGCTATAGCTATAGCTGTCCCCTTTAAGAAATATCTTAGCTAGCTTCTTTTCTAGAGTATATAGCTTTAAGAGCCTTTAAGCTTCTCTCTCTTCTATAGCTTTAAATTCTTAAGAGATAACCTTTATCTTTATATTCTATTAATTAGTATATAAGGCAGTACTCCACGTGACGTCCTGCCTTTATAGTACTAGTAGTCATAGAATTAAGTAAGGAGTTATAGCGTATAATAAACTAACTATCTTAGAAATAAAGATTAAGATCACACTTCTAGCAGCTAGATTATTATTTTAAGTAAAGATAGATATTCTCGATTTTTTTTTTCTTTTTTAACTAGGGAACTCTTATATAAGGAATAGAAAGCTCGAATAAGCTAGGATTATATATCTGGGTAGCTAGTATTAGATATAACATAGGGTATTCTAATTATGATAGATAATATAATTAATCTTGAATTGTGATAGACTAATCACCTGGGCAAGGCTGACGTCGTAAAGCTACCTACGAACTTAGGCGTCGAGGACACTTAGGTGGGGAGTCATACGACGAACCTAGGACTAGCCTAGTTCGCCAGCGGCTGCATCTCTTCTACTTATACTTGAGGCTCGTTAGAAACCTCTTCCTCTCGCTGTCTTTTCTACTTTGTATTGTAGCTACCAATAAATCTTCGTTGTGCCCGCCGTCACATTCAGGATAACTTGACGTTGGTGAATGCAGCACAACCAGCGATATCCTTCACGAGACAGAGTAAGTTGCCACATGCTTCAGAGTGTAATACACTGACGGGACTTAATCGATGAGAAATATGTTTTCTCCAACGACAATGAAAGATACCTGACCTAAAAAATCGCTCATATCCCCAAGACCATCGGCACCACAGCCCGCGAAGTATCAGCTCTTGTCCCATACCCAATAAACAACTACACAACCGGTCCCTCAGAAGCAAGCATCCTTACTCGATCCCTCAACACAGTCTGCGCAGCATACAACACGAGCGTGATCCGCGACAAAGTCAACCCCTCCCCACCTACCGCTACGAATGGGCCGGTAACTTCAGCAACAGTGCACCGCCTCCTTGGCTGAGCGCTTATCACTACTCGGATTTTTATATGCTGTTCGGAACGTATCCCATCACGCCTGGAGGTTCCGGAGCTGGAAGTCCAGACTTCGGAGAAGATGCAACAGTTACTTTTTGGATTTCGTGAAGGAAGGATCCCAAGTTAATGGGGGAGTGGCCACAGTATGACACTACGGAGAGTAAGGGTGGGAAAAATTGCGAGATTTGCCGCTGGTGCTCAGGTTGTTCGGTTTGTGGATGGGAATGAGGGGTTGATGGAGCTTGTCACATTCCAGGTGCGACGTACAACACTTCGCCATAATGTTGAATGGGAAGCTTGGAACGAATTTAGCAAAGCATCAGCCTAGTACATGTGGGATGTAGTTTTCTTGACTGGATAGTGATTCGGAAAAATCTGTTCAATTAATTGTTCCAATTATAGGGTTTTGTTGATAGAAATAACTTATGAAGAAGTCTCCCGTGTCGATTTTGCACTTATGCGGCTACTACTGGTGATCGGCTGAACAAAGACTCCTAAGGCAAGAGGTCGCTTGAGTCGCTAAAATAAGCGGCAAAGATCATGCGTTGCAGTTGTTCAGTGTTAGAAACTAACGTCGGAAAGAAGCGCTGTCATCTGAGCTCGGCATAAAGTAGCGAATATGGTATAGTGCTTAGTGTCCGCCAGATGAAGATCCTGGCTTACACATTATTTTGTACAAGCTACTACCAATGCAGAGATCGTACCGATATTGCTTCATGGACAGCATCAAAGCCTTCGATTAGGTAAAATAAGAGGGGGTCGAAGTCGGCAACTATGAAGAGGTGTCAATCCAAAAACAGTAACCACTTCTTTGCACTAAATTCTTATCTCTGTTGCCTACTGCCGACATGGGTATATAAAAATATGATCTGGACCGGCAGTCGCTGGGGTGTAAGGAACAAGTGCGTTGACCAAGCGCTTTTTAGATGTGTACTCCGACGCGATGAACATCTCCCGAATGTGGGGGCTGGTCGATTTAAGGTAATCAGTGCGACATACAAGACTCCACTCTGACCATCGTAAGCGAGCTTAAGATCGATATAGCCTTTCTTGGCAGTATATTTCTGGGCACTGCATATCTCGGCACCCAACCGGCCCCTGAATTATCTATCGCACATGGTGTAAGCCTCGTGGTAAGATCGGATGATGCTCGACAAGTCATGTACCATCGGCTTAGACAGGGTCTCCAAATCTTAATGTCAGTATCATCCTTGATGGCCAGACTGATCTTGCAGGAAACGGACGCCTGCTTCTCCTGGACACCTCGTACGAAATTCATCGTACCTTTTTTGTTGGCGAACCTCACAGAACGACCGTTCTTGTAAAAGGACCCGCGTCTTGGGTGCGATTTTTCTTCTTAGGTCTTATCAGTACATAGAGCGCTCTCACTGGATTCAAAGCGGCCGTCCACTTCGGTGCAGGCACTGAACCACTTGCATTTCTTCAACTCCCCACTATCCGCAGTCTCGAGCAGCAGTATGGGAAAGAGAGCTCCATAATGGTGAAACATCTGTCAGATTCTTCTTTGAGACATAAGAAAATAATTTATATTTCCACCATAACCCTGGCAAGACATGAGAAATTGCCAATATAGGCAGGTGGTATCGTCCAGCAGCAATATGCTAGTTCAACTGGCATGTGCGTACCAGAGGCACAGTTAGTTTGTGCCAAGATCTCCAATCCATGAACACATCAACTTATAAGCCTCTCTTCCCATTCAAATTGGGCACATTTGAACTCCAGGGTGACTTTCCTGTCGACAATAGCCCCTTGAGAATCTACGTGCTCTGCGACAGTCGACGGCCTCGTTATCGACTTGACAAAGATGAAGATATCGCTTGCCCTGGCCTTCGGGCTAGGAGCTTCATTGGCGGAATCCGCCGCTGTTTTCGCTCACTTTATGGTACCAGTTACAGACTCAGTAAAAAAAGCATGCCATGAAACTGACGGAATCTAGATGAGTAATGCCCAGAACTACACTGCCGATACGTGGGCATTCGAGATGAAATATGCCAAAGAGGCAGGCATCGATGCATTTGCAATGAACATCGCCTACAACGAGAAAGTTTCGTTGGGCCAAATGTCAAACATGCTCCAAGCCGCATCAGGGCAACAATTTCCATGGTTCTTTTCCTTTGACTATGCTGGAAATGGAGCGTTCCCGAAGCAAACTGGTACGTCCATATTACCAAGGTCATTGTCTCGGCGATGCGACGAAGTACATGCACGCTGACGAGAATTTCTAATCGCAGTTATTGATATGTTGAAAGAGTATGGACCTACCAAGTATTACTACAAGTATAATGGAAAGCCATTTGTTTCTACGTTCGAAGGTCCTGGCAATGCACTCGACTGGAGTGTCATCAAAGCCCAGACAGGTTGCTTCTTCATGCCGTAAGCAGTTTTCATCTCCATCGGCTACCTGTTTTATTTGCCGAGCTCCGAAATCAAGAGCAGTGACTGATCTGAAATATAGGGACTGGTCATCACTTGGCGCAAAAGAAGCGGTAGGAAGAGGTAATTTATTCCTCCCCGTTGAGGGCGCTCTGGAACATTGGATGGACTGTGACTAACAGTTTCGTGCACAGGTACTGCTGATGGACTCTTTTCTTGGGCAGCTTGGCCTTGGGGAAATCATGATATGGACACATACACTGACTCGGTAAGTTGAGCATCAGCTAAGTCTCCGAAAGTCTGGAGTTGATCGATGTCAACAACAAGTTTATTCTTTAAATAGATTCTGAGGCTAACTCGGATTCTTCCATCTAGTCGTATACCCATTTCCTGGGTGGCTTACCCTACATGATGCCTGTGTCGCCTTGGTTCTACACGAACGTACCATTCTACGGAGGTAAAAATTGGCTCTGGCGTAGTGATCAGTATGTATTGCCCAGTTTCGATGGAATTGCGATTGTTGTTCCAAACCGAACGTATTTACCAACATCACAATAGTCTCTGGTTCGATCGTTGGAACGAAGTCAACTGGCTCAAGCCAGAGTTCGTTGAAATTATCTCGTGGAACGACTACCCAGAATCACGTGAGATATACTCAAACACCACTCTACCAACTCAGCGAGTACTGACTTGAACCTCCAGATTACATTGGACCACTACGGCCTGAAGCTATGGGAGCCTTTACCACAGGCAAAGCACCGTACAATTATGCAACTGATATGCCTCATGATGGATGGAGAGCATTCCTTCCATACCTTATCACGTTGTACAAGACTGGCACAGCAACAGTCACAAAAGAAGGCCTGCAAACATGGTACCGAATCAATCCAAAAGATGCATGTGGAACTGGTGGGACAAGGTAAGAAATTGACTCTATCCAGTCCTTCGGTCTGCAGCCTGCTGACTTCAGAAAACAGTGCCAATACTGCCAGTCAGATACAACTCGAATGTAGGTTATTTACCGACTGCCTCTATAAGCGCATTCTCAGGAACTGAAGGGCTGTTGTTTTCTTGTAATTATCAACCACTGACAGTTTACAGTTGCGCCAAGCGAGGTTCTGGCTGATGAGATTTTCTTCTCTGCCTTGCTTGGATCTCCAGCAGACGTGACCGTGACTATCGGAGGTGCAAGCGTTGCAGCGAAATGGTCCACAGTCCCTGATGGTAACGTTGGTGTGTATCATGGGAGCGTTCCATTCGGGGGCCGCACTGGTGCTGTCGTTGTGACCATCAAAAGAAACGGTGCGACGATTGCTATCGTCAATGGACGATCGATTACCACAGGCGTAAGTGGAACCACCATTCAAGAAAGCAGTAAACAAATTGACTGACATGTTGCAGTGTACAAATGGAATCGCCAATTACAACGCATGGGTTGGATCTGCCAGTATGTTTATTCTCGCTTACTATAAACATCAACACAGGATTCCAGACCGATGTCTTCAATATTTGAAGTCTGCTAGACAATTACTAACAACAAATCCAGTGTCAGCCTCTTCAATCTCTGCCACACCGCCACGCAAGCGTTCCGAGCAAGTTTGTGTAAAGGGAACTGGCGCCAATAACTTTGCTGGATTGTGCGCATTTACATGTCAATATGGCTACTGGTATGTTCACCCCCTTTCCTTCTCTGCATTCCTTCTCGCCTATTCGAACACTGCTAATATGCTCATTTTAGCCCCCCAGAGGCATGTGTCTGTCTAGCATTAGGAAAACAAGCCACGCTACCAAAGGAAACTGGAACACCGGGCTTTCCTGCTGCCGGCTTGAGCGAGGCTTACAGTGGACTGTGTCGCTATGCTTGCAAGTAAGTACCTCACTACTTATGATCCACTTGATTCTCTCGATTCCCCTCACACGAGATGATGAATATACTAAAAGTTTGCCAGTTACGGCTATTGCCCTACAGGAGGTAAGTGTCATCCTTAGGATTTACACACCTTGATAGCCCAAAACGATGCTCAGGTTTGATTGGCGAAGCCACAATCCAGACGACGTCCAAAAACGCCTCAGCTTCTTACCCTTAGGTCCACAATGAATGTCTACTAATATACTGTTTAGCCTGCAGTACTACAAAACAGCCTCTAATCGTGCCTACCGTCTCCGAGTTTGCACCGCCCGGTACGATATCCATGGACTTCCATGTAGCTATTCGTGATTGCTAACTCAGCTATGTGTTCTAGTGTGCATCAAAGGCACTGGCAGTGGAAACATTAAAGGTATGTCTCATCCTAGTCTCCAATGGTTTTCCATCATCAGCTAACATAAAATACAGGTCTTTGCGAATTCGCCTGTAATTACGGCAACTGTGTATGTTGAGCACCGAATTACTGGCAGACTGAGCGAGAAACTTCGCTAACGTGAACATTAGCCCATGGCTTCGTGTAAATGTCTTGCTACCGGAGCTCTGAATGCCTTCCCTGCATTCACACCGCTCACTGCCTCGGCAGCTGATGATCTCGATGGACGACTGTACAACGGTGTGTAGCTTCTCATCCCATATCCGCTTGTCCTACCATATATAGGGACAATCTCTGACATATGACAGGGCTGTGTCAATTTTCCTGTTCTTATGGATATTGCCCCGCTGAAGCCTGCAAGGTTGCTCAAGGTGGTCAGGGAGGAATCTTTACCCCTAAGCCTTTGGGTCCCGAGTCATCCTGTGATGATATATCAAGTATGTACCTTCGGCTTTACCTTCGAAGATGCGAGTCTTATGTTGACATTACCAGAAACTACCCTCAGTCGCGATATGTGGGATCAAGTCGAGTAAGTTCCATTGCATATCTCACTGTGAATTGTTTGTTACAGTCACTGACATATCATAGTGCCACGACAGAGCTTTCACGTAAGACTTTCCCCTTTTGAAGCGAAGTATTCCTGACAATTCACAGAATGGTGGAGCGCAAACGCGTATACAACCGATTATTGCAAGGACTTGGCGAGACCTTTGGGTATTGGAGAGCAAATGACTTGCCGAACAGATGCCCCATGCTCTCGCCCAAACTGCAATGACATGGGGCCAGCCCAGTACGAATCTGGCTCTGGATGGGCATATTTGTAAGTTTCACCTTTCCGCCTTGATGCTCCGAAACTTGGGGAACATTGTCTAAACGAATCTAGGGTTCTGCTGTCCTGCGCGAATTTGAACATCGTAAGTACATGTCTGATTCCTCCGACTCGAGATACATGAACACTGATGGTCGCAGGGATTCAATATTCTCTACAACTCAGTCTTCAAGAGTTGGACAGCCTTCGCAGCGTTGAAGAGCCAATTGGAAGACACTTTCTTCTTTGACGATAGCGACGCATGGAAGAATCTGCTTCTCAAAGAGATTTTATTTGGTGTTGCTGGCGCCATGACTATTATTGCCACCGCAGCAGGTCCTTTCCTAGGTGTTTGGGGAGCTGTAGCGGCTGCTAATGCAGCTTCTGCCGTCAGTTCTTCGGTCGTCGGAATCACATTGACCATGAAAGACTCAGATGCTACAGTTCAAAATCTGATCACCCTAGAGAAGTAAGTTGTAGACCGCGATGCCTTATCATAAGAACAATCGTCTGACTAGTATTAGTACCGCCAGAGACTTCGTCTCGACCATGTCAACGGGTATCGACACTGCCAACACCGGGTTTATCAGTGATGGTCATGCAGAGGGGATTGCCACAACCAGGATTTTCGATGACGGATACTGGCTTGTTTCCAAGCAAATCCCGATCCTCAATACCGATACCAAATTGACGATGTTCAAAGCCACCGAAATCGACGATTACTTCGCGAATATGATCCAAGCCAGTCTTGTCAATGCAGCAGTAAGTCTTCATCTGATTAATCATTGGTTCTCGCCACACTAGCTATGGAAATACTGACAGTGCGATTGAATAGTGGAAAAAGCAGAATGTCTATATCTTCTGCATACCAATGACAAAGGCCGAATGTAAACATACTCTTTTAAACTCCATGTTTCATGCAATCTCTGACATGTTTACAGTTGATAGTACTACGGTTGAGGCTGGTAACAACAATGCTGGTTTGAAATGTAAGCTGAGCCATTGAATTCCACAATTGTATCTGCACATACACACGAAAGGCGCATGGTGCTAACCATTCAATTGCCAGATTATGAGTCAAAGTACGGAAAAGGATGTTATTTCCAAAGGTAAGAATCTCTACCTCATATATCCGCACCGACATACTAACCAGATGTTTCAGCGCATTCGTCGATCCTGGGAAACTGCTCGAACCTGTCTCTCTTTGCCGGAACCCACCAGGATGGGACGACCTGAAGCCTGGATCCTCTACCAAGAAGTTCAACACCCAAGATATTCTTGCAGGAAGTATCGAATCGTTCTACAACAACAACGGAGCCGGTGGAGGTTTCAATTACCAACCTGATGACAAGCACGTTTTCGCACTGTGGGATGAATTCGGCCATGACTCTTTGTCCTACAAGTACCCTGGTAAGCCCACCTAATTGATGCAGATTGGCAACAGCCGATGATGACTTCCTAGGTATCTGGAACATCCCTATCTGTGAATTCCCACTCAATATCTCGGCCAAGAAAACCGTCAAGAGCATGGTAGGCGTCCTGAACGAACCGGGATGGGGAACATCGTATGCTCCAAGGTAAGTCTATTCTGAGATTTAGTTGTGTATCTCTGCTGACTAGTGTAGTTGGTGCTACTGCATAAACAACCCTGACAGATTTGGAAAAACACTCAAGGACGTTACGACTTTGTCGAAGTTCGATATCAAGACCGCATGCGCAGGAATCACGTCGACTCCGGGCTAAGTCGACACCTTTTAGTTTTTGGGCGTGTATGGTACAGATGGTAAGACGGGAGAATGGTGTATGCACAATATCCTTGTTGCAAGTAGATAGCTTGAAGTCGTGCGGTCTTCTTGCGAGACAATTAAATAGATAATTGGCTATTAATACCTCCAGGAGATTTCTCCACTGTGAGCTAAGCAAATACACTGAAAGTCCGATCGGACCTCTTGCCGCAGCCGTCTATTGCAGTATCGTTCAAGAGCACGCGCCTTGAGTCATGGACAAATCATCTTTCCCATCACAAAACATAAGCATTCGCTTACGCCTTCTATCTTGCTCGGTAATCCACTTCGTCTTTACCGAGTGGGAGTCAACAAGCTAGCCCCGCCCAAGAACCAGGAGCAAACTCCGGGCCTTCCGAACACAGCAATAGCTCATGCTTAACTTTTCCTGACTTGTAGTCATGCGATCACTGAGCTGGGATATTGCCTTGGAAGCTCAATAGTCGTAGATGCTTATCGAATCAGATAAAAAGATAGTCCTTCTTTGGTTGCCGATTTGCACACGACAGGGATGAAATTTAAACTTTCTATACCGTCTATCTGTACGAAAGTACCGTCCGTCCTTTTAGTTCCTCGACCGTAGATGTTTATTGGATATGAGGATACAAAACTGCATCAATGCATAATATGCTCGGGATTTTCGGCATTCTATTTCCTTCACGGCCGTCACATGGTGCCATGGTGGTGCCATGATGGCGCTTATTACCTCAGCTCTCCGACCTTCTTAAATGCTTATCCCCCCCGCGTCCAGATAATTCCATGTAAGATTGCAGAGATCTTATCGATTGAGATTAAAAAAAATGGGTGGAATCGGTGCAGTGGCAGAACCTCTTGTAGTTATCGTGCTTCTGTTCGGAGGTACTTGGATCAATCGAGACTTCAATCCTGGCCGGAGCAGGAGACCTACGCATCTGAGGAGGATCTCGGATGATGTAGAGTCTGGATTTGGGCTGGTTCGGTCGTCCAGGGAGACTTTTGGTGTTCAGGATGAAGAGGGAGATCACAGGTCCAGTTCTCCTTCACTTCTACCCACTCAGGAGCCGAAATATCGAACAAGAACAGTCAATGTTCTAGGACGGAGAAAGGAAGTTACAACCCCAAATACGCGCCGCTTCAAGGGGTATTTCTTAAGTCGTCTGCTTGAGAGATTTCCATTTCTGGTTGAGTGTTGGTACTGGGCTTTGATATATTGGGTGAGATGCAACTCGCTAAATTGCACTGGGTCTCAGCTGACAATTCAGGTATATCAACTTGGTCGAGCAGCTACGGCAGTATGGATCGTCGAGGGTACTGTGTTCGCTGCTCGGAAACACGCTTTGCAAGTCATCGCCGCCGAGGAGAAGTTACGTATTTTCTTTGAACTTCCGATTCAGGAATTCTTCATGCGGAATGAATTCATGATGACTTGGATCAATCGGATATACTCATTCATACATATCCCTGGATCCATTGCCTTTCTTGTTTGGCTATTCTACTACACCAATACCAAGAATCGGATTGATGAAAGGCCGAAAACTACGATTCTTACACAGACAGGAGGAACACCTGCTGGGCCGAGGCTGTATGAGGCCAGACGACGTACCATGGCACTGTGTAATTTGTTAGCATTTATTTTGTTCACTGTTTGGCCATGTATGCCACCGCGTCTCCTGAGTGCAGATACCACACCTGATGCAGCTGGCAAACTGGCAAGAAGTTACGGGTATGTTTGTCTATTTTCAGTGCAGGCCACTTGCTGACTCGGAAAGTTTTGTTGACACAGTCCACGGACCTGGAGGAGAAGGTTCAATCTGGACCGATAATCGCTTTACAAACAAGTTCGCAGCTATGCCATCTCTCCACTTTGGATATTCTCTTCTCATCGGCGTCACAATCATGACCATTCCTCTGGATGACACGCCATCTACCTCATCGACGCTTCCACATCTTACAAAAGCTCATCCAAACTTCATTCGGACTGTTAGAATTCCGTCTTGGCAACGGTTGGGTTGTATCCTTCTCGGTAATCTTTACCCGGCTCTCATTCTCGTGGCAATTATTGCCACAGCCAATCACTTCATCCTGGATGCTGTTGCTGGCGCTGTGGTGTGTGGTGTGGCATGGTGGGGGAATGAAATTCTCTTGAACTTGCTGGCTGTTGAAGATTGGTTCCTCTGGGTTGTGAGAATTCACAAACCGGAAAGTTCTTTTGTTGACTGGGAAGGGGATGAGAGAGACAAGCGAGATTCGCTAACATGAAAAGGAGGCAACTTTGTCCGGCAAGAATCGTGAAATCTATTGGTGAAATCAACTTTGTCCCGCATATTTGAGTAGTGGTATTTAAAAGTTTGATTGGGATATTTGTATTCACAGATCCTGGGGCTGTCTTATTCGAGAGTGCCAACTACAACCTGTTATCTATTTGCTTTCGTCCCCCGCCGTGAACCGTACCCCGCCATGCTGGAGGTTTCTTGGCTTCTGAACCCGCCGCCGCCAACCCCGTAATCGGGTCAACTGTGGCTTTTCATCAACTTACTCATGCTGGAAGTCTCCATCCGAAGCACGCAAGCTAGGGGAATAATTACTCACACCGAACAAAAGAACCTCAAAATAACCAAATCCGAGACGTTTCTCCTTCAAAATTGTGTTGTGATATGGCTATAAGGCGCCAGAAAGGTATCTATATGTTCGGATGGGTTCGAATGTTTTGGTTCCGACCACTTCGGAACCAAATGTATGCCAAAACCCGGCCGAAAATCTCACGCCTCGGAGCCGACTCTTCTTTAAAATCCGGTGACAGCTTTTCAATCCCTGTACATTTCAGGAACAAGCCTTGCTTTGAAGCCGGTCATTGGTGTAAATAGTCCCAGGTGCCGCTTTTCCGTCCCGCTCTCGTAACGTAATAGAAGAAATATGCTAGTGTAATTCCCCTGCGATGATGTCTACCCTTCGTAGATCTTCTTGACCATTCCTATCAACTCTTGCATCTTGACTCACTCCTTTTCACTTAAAGGCCAGAGACTTGGCCGCATTCGCATCCGAATACATTCGACATGAATAATTCATAGCATTCGAACTCGAGACTGGTAGTACGCTGGATATTGTGCGACTGTACAAATCATGGATAAAGAGATGCGGAACGAAGCCGAAGCCGAAGCCGAAACCAAGGCCGAGGCAGGAGGAATCATTGGCGCGGGGACAAGTGCGACAACTGAAAGTGGTGACACGCATCACAAGCACGAAAACGACCAAACATCCCTATCCCTATCCTCGAAGAACATCCAAAATACCACGAGCAACTCCAATACCAGCATTGAAGGCTCAACAACAGTCGGTCCCGAATCGCCTCCTCCAACAAGCGACAATGTAGTCTCTGAACAACAGCATCCCCCCCACTCCACGAATACCAATCCAGAAGACACGAGAACGAAACTCCAGACAACCATAATCGTCCTCTCACTCTGCGCATCAGTCTTCCTGGCTGCTCTCGATACTACCATCATCACTACCGCGCTACCTACAATCAGCGAATACTTCCAGTCAAATGCAGGATACACTTGGATTGGATCCGCATACCTGCTTGCGAACGCGGCGTCCGTTCCATCATGGGGGAAATTCTCAGATATCTGGGGGCGCAAACCAGTCCTGCTTGTGGCATCTGGTGTGTTCTTCGTTGGGAGTCTGCTGGCAGCTGTGAGTGTTAGCATTGGGATGTTGATCACTGCGCGGGCCATACAAGGAATTGGCGGTGGTGGATTGATTATCCTAGTGAATATCTGCATCACGGATCTGTTTAGCATGCGTGCGAGAGGGGCATACTACGGAATCATTGGTATGGTGTGGGCATTTGCCAGTGCCGTTGGGCCAATTCTTGGGGGTGTATTTACAGAAAAGGTTTCGTGGAGATGGTGTTTTTACATCAATTGTAAGTTGCGCGACGTGTAATTGCAAAGAGTACATACTAACACCACGTAGTACCCATCACAGGGACCGTCTCGATACTCCTGTTCTTCTTTCTGCATCTACATAATCCTCGAACTCCGGTATGGGAAGGTCTCAAAGCAGTGGACTGGGCAGGCTCGCTCACGATCGTGGGAGGAACACTCATGCTTCTCCTCGGACTCGAATTCGGAGGCGTCACATATCCATGGAGCTCGGCAACTGTGATCTGTCTGATCGTCTTCGGTATCGTTGTTAGTGGACTCTTTGTTCTGAACGAGTGGAAGTTCGCGCGATATCCAGTCATGCCCCTTCGAATCTTCAAACACAGATCCAACATTGCATCGCTTGGTGTCTGTTTCTTCCACGGCGCTGTTTTCATTGCAGGCAACTACTACGCACCTCTATACTTCCAAGCGGTGCTAGGAGCTACGCCTCTTCTTTCCGGTGTCTATCTCCTCCCGTTCGTCATGGCATTGTCCCTCACGTCAGGATTGACAGGCGTCTTCATCAAGAAGACCGGGAAATATCTTCCCCCGATCTGGTTCGGGATGGCTACCATGCTTCTCGGATACGGTCTTTATATTAACCTCCCAAATGGTCGCAACTGGACGAAAATTATCCTCTATCAGATCGTTGCTGGTATCGGTATTGGTCCCAACTTCCAGTCTCCTCTGCTGGCTTTACAGACTATGATTGCACCCAAGGACATCGCAACAGCTACAGCAACATTCGGTTTCACACGCAATCTCTCCACATCTATCTCCGTCGTCATTGGCGGTGTAATCTTCCAAAACGAGATGCAAAAGCGTTTCCCGGCTCTTGTCGCAGCCCTCGGTCCCGAGACAGCAAAAGCACTCTCCGGCGGCTCAGCAGGCGCAAGCGTCGGTATCGTGGCTCAGCTTCCTCCCGCACAGCGAGGAGTTGCTCGACAGGCTTTCCACGAGAGTTTGAGGACTATGTGGATCATGTACGTGGCTCTCGCGGCCGCGGGATTGGTTATCACGGCTTTCATTGGGAATAACGTGTTGAGTAAGGAGCACCAGACTGTCAAGACTGGGCTGGGTGAGGAGGAGAGACATAGGAGGGAAGCGAAGGAGATGGAGAAGAATGGACGGAGTGAAGCGAAAGCGCTGCAGGAAGCTGAAAAGGCGAAGGCGAGGAAGGAAAAGGGTGATGTGTCGAAAGAGGAGGTTTGAATATCATGTCAAAAATGTGGTGTCTACGGAGTTCTAGCATAGATGCATCCTGGGCAGGCGTTTTGGTTTGAAGCGTACATTTTTGGATTTGTCTTGAGCATTGTACATAGTCCTTATATCCCCTTGGCTTTCAAACCTCCAATATACGACCACTTACAACCACACGTAGTCTGCAATATTTTGAAAATTCATACTCGGTGCATCCACCCATGTCTGGTTGTTGGAAACAGATTTTTGAATCTGATCATCTCCGCCTGAAAAATGCTTATTAGATTTCGGCGTAACCTTACTCATACATGCGTTCGTAAAAATTATATAGTGTTACAGTATCATAAATCTCCTTCGACTTTTTCATCCCTTCGTTACTCTGCAGATGGTTAGTATTGAAGTTCAGGAACTTGGTGCTTCAAGACTCACAATTACTTTAATATGAGTATTGTATCGTGCCTCGTCGGACTTTGTCTCTGGGCAGCCCCCCTTGGGATCAGACTTCTCGTGATCCAGCAGCGAATTTCTTGTCGCGGACTATTATTGATGTCCAGGTTCCAGACCCTTGTTTGCGAATCCCAGCTTCAGCCTTCCCAGGGCATCATCAACATAAACTCCGGACTTCGCCTGCTCACGAGCTCCATGAAATTGTGAGCCCAGAATTTCTTCCCGGCATTTGGCCCCGACTCAACTTCCAACATTCGTTATGACGGTTCTCTTCAAACTCCATTCATTCCGTTTGGTGCCCCATTTCCTATCCCATTCCCACTTCCATTTCCATTTCGTGATCCAGGCGACATGAATGATACCTGTCGACCTCCCTTTGCTGGCATTACGATTACTTTTGCGAATGCTTCGGCGCTGGCTTCGTGGTCGCGTATCCGACGTTCGTGATCCCGGATTCGCTCTTGGTGTCGGCGCACTTCTACTATGATTGTCAGCACACATCCGAAATGTTTTCCCTCCTAATTTATCGGCTGATCTCGAAACCTCGAAAGAAGTATATGGGAGTATATGATTTTTAAGGGGAAGAAACTCACCCTCTTTATGCAGCCTCATTTCCTCCGCATGTCTCAGCGCTTCTGCCTCGTAATACTGCCTCATCTCGTACTCCTCTTGCGCAATCCTCTCCTGCTCTCTGGTCATCTTATCCATCTCCTCCTGCATCCTCGCCCGATCCTCTTCAATTTGCGCCATTTCTCTCGCTCTTTCTTCAGCCTGCCGTTCGTACTCCAGCATCTGCGGGGTCCTCGTACCCCTCATCGTCGGTGGCGAGCCCGAAGACGACATACCCGCAAACCCACCCGCAAACTGCGCGAACGTAAATGGAGTGCTTGTCCGACTCTGCTGCTTTGTTGGTACGGGTGGTAGAACTTTCGTGTTAAGATTGGGTGGATTCGAAAATAGGGAGACTTTCTCTTCTGCTGTAGAGACTGATGAATTTGATGAGATACTGATCGTGGAGTCGCGAGACGACACTGATGAGCTTTTCTGCCGGCTGCGGAACACTTGTTGTAAAGGGATTCGTGTCAGGGACATCGATCTTTTATTCCATCCTCAGCGGTTATAAGGTTATTCTCGTGGGTGGTTGGGCGGTCTGGTCTGTCTGTTCGTTCGTCGTCGCGCAGCTGGTGGTTACATTGGCTGGCTGTGCGTAGGGGCCGAGGTGGATTTTACAGGAGTTGACAACCCCTTCTACAAAGGCACAACTGTGTCCAATTTGCTGCTCTCGGCGCAAATGGCGAGTATCAGGTCAGAAGGATCGGATCACAAGCGCGCCCCTGTGTCTCTGGTACTTTGCTCTCTGAGGGGCTGACTCGCGAGGATTTAAAGTCTCGACTGGCTGAGGGGTACTTTCTGAGCACCATCGTCACATCGTTCCAAGCATCGCAATCCACTTGCTTGGGATCATCCTTGATTCATCCCGGCAGTGAGAACTTGGAGTTATCGCTGAGGTGCATGAGTGGATTGATTCACTGGGAGTGCACGGCCTGGACCTGTTTCGAGACGTCTGATGCATCATGTTTTTGAAGCTCGCAGGTGGCCCTCAGATCTCGATGAGGGACTTTTTCATCTGAAGTGGCAAAACATTGGGCAAGCTGGATCTTGCTTTTCACCCGTAGTGACGACGCAACTTAGTCCAGAAGAATATTCAGCGGAAAGAGGCTTCAAGAGGAATTTGGAAAGAAATTTTCGGCGTAGGCAGTCATTGAAATCGTGCACGTTTCAGCCTCGCGGTCTCGACGCCGTGAGGTCACATTAAGCGAGACGAACGGTGGAGAAAATATGGATTGATAAACATCTGATGCGCAGATCATTCCGTGTTGAAACGAATATTCGAATAACTTCAGATGCCCTTGGACCTATTTCCGATCTTGCAGCTGCTCACGTGACAGTAAATATCCCACTTGCTTGTTCTCCTCTGCATCACAGCTTTTGTATTGTCAATTTGGACATCACATAATGAACTGGCGTCCCAAGCTCGAGACCTAATAGGCGTTACAATACATTCATGCCCGAGTATTCTACCTGCTATTGCTGACTAGGACTATCCCAGCTCTACGGTTTCACGACAATTCTTGACGATGCCTCGCTCATGTCGATTGTCAGAGTCTGAAGATCTCGGCCTCAAACTATGAGAATTTGACGATGGCGGTAGTGAAATGATGCTGTCAGAATACCAGTAGTCAGAAGAGCAAGTATACAATGGATCTGCTGCAGAGGTTGGCATTGTGGAAGAGACGGGACAGATTTCTGTAATGAGGTTGACGAGAGAGCATGGTTGTGGAATAGTGATACTGAGCTTGATGATGTAAACAAACACCATCAGCTGATGGTGCCCCCTATATCTCCCTTAAAAGGGTCTGCGGACCAACACTCCAAGTCTAGTCTATTCTAAGTTTAAATCCTCTATAGCTTAAAACTTTCCTTGACACTCTTTAAAGCCACGCATTTCACGCTAACCTCGCTTGTCCCAGAAGTATCTTTCCTTTGCAATGTGAAAACTTCTTCTACTCCTAGGCTCTCTAGGTAAGCAATTGCTCTCTCAAAATTAGTACCCACCTGTACAATGCCATGACTATCATCACTTAGTGTCAACTGTCCCCCTAATCTTAAGAACTCTTCACAGATACATCGTATCGGATACGGTTCCTCAAGACCCTTCCTCAGTCCACTCGAGTTGATCTCTAGAAGTCCACCCTGCTCAACTACAACTTTCAGATTCCTAACAACACGCTCCCAAACACCCTTGATCTCCTTCAAACTTGCATTCGGTTTAGAGCTCAACAAGCGAATGAGATCGAAATGACCTACGACTCTTGGCTTCAATTCAACTAACATCTCATACTGCAAGTCGAAATAGTCCTCAAACAGTCGCTCGTCAGTTCCTCCCGCGATATCTCGAGCTTTGGTATAGAAGGGTACATCGTAGTCGATAGGAACAGTGTGGACATGATGGACCGAGCCGATGAAATAGTCAATAATAGGATTGGAGGCTAGTTCTTTGATAAATGGCCCGTAAGAAGGACGAATCCATTCTCCTTCAAACCCAATCAAGATAGTGATCTGAGAAGCGTATTTAGCACGTAGGCGTTGTGCTTCAATAAGGAAAGACTCGTGACGGGGAAGGAGAACAGAGACGCTGTCACCAGCTGCGATCTAGAAAGTCTATTAGATGCCCTGTCGTAAAAGGGAGGACAAAGAAAAGACTCACTTCTTCTGGATACCGATCTTCATCCGAGAGTCGTGGCATGTGCTCAGTTAGAGCGAAAGTCTGCATGCCTCTGGAAATGGCAGTTTGGATAACCTCTTCTAAGCTATCTTTTGCATGGCCAGGACAGAATTGCCCAGAATGACTGTGCATAGAGAAAGCCATCTTGACTTGCGTTCTTGTTGCTGGTGTGAGGACGAAACCGATCAAAATTTAAAACGAAACGAAGGATAGAACAAGAACTCTTGAACTGTAGGTGGAAACGGAAACGGGACAACTATGACGGCACATTACCTAAGCTCCCCTACCGAGTCACGTGGGTAGGCGGGGTGACTATAAAAATTCTCAAGGGCAGCTGTGACTCTAACATTTGGGGATCTGTTGACGCAAACTGTCTCGCTCTCTATCGCAAATAACCTCTCTTAATCACTTAATTCAAGCTGTACAGTGTCAATCATGGCACTTGAATTCCCTACTAAGAAATGCGGTATGTCTGTTCCACTTTTGTTACTATATCTACACTGGAAATTACCCCGCCATTTCACTTGATTTTGCCCCTCCCTTCGATTCAGATAAAGATAGCTAACATAATGAACCACAGGTGTACTAGGCTGCACAGGCTCCGTCGGCCAGCGCTTCATCCTCCTCCTTGCACAACACCCACACTTCGTTCTTCATGCCGTCGGCGCTTCGTCGAGATCTGCAGGCAAGAAGTACAAGGATGCCGTGAAGTGGAAGCAGGCATTCCCTATGGGCAAGCACGTCGCGGAATTGGTGGTCAAGGAGTGTAAGGCGAGCGAGTTTAAGGATTGTGATATTGTCTTCAGTGGGTTGGATGCTGATGTTGCGGGGGATATTGGTATGTTTGCCCTCTAGATTTCAAAGTGCTTTCATACTAGCATTTGAGATGAAGCTTACATGGTACTAATCTCTTCTTTCTTCCCCCTGAACAGAGATGGAATTCCTTAGAGCAGAACTAGCGGTCTTCTCTAACGCAAAGAACTACCGACGCTCCCCTCTTGTCCCCCTTGTCGTACCAACCGTTAACCTCCCTCACTTCGACGTTATCCCTCACCAGCGGAAACACTACAACCTAAAGAAGGGTTTTCTGGTCTGCAACTCTAACTGTGCTGTCATCGGCATAGTAATCCCGTTTGCTGCGATCCAAAAAGCGTTCGGACCAGTTGACCAAGTCAGCGTCGTTACTATGCAGGCTGTATCTGGCGCGGGGTATCCTGGGGTCTCTAGCATGGATATCTTGGACAATGTCGTCCCATTCATCTCTGGGGAGGAAGACAAGCTAGAGACAGAAGCACAGAAGATATTAGGGAGTGTGAATGCCGATGTGACTGGATTTAGCGACCAATCGGACCTGAAGATCTCAGCAGCTTGCAATAGGGTCGCGGTGCTAGACGGGCATATGGCTTGTGTGTCGCTAAGGTTTAAGAATAGAGATGGGGCAAGACCGACAGCTGAGCAAGTGAGAAAAGCGATGAGGGAGTACGTTAGTGAGGCTAGTAAGCTTGGCTGTCCGTCTGCGCCTGAGCCGGCGATTTTAGTTATGGAGGAGCTGGATAGGCCTCAGCCAAGATTGGATAGGAATACAAGCAATGGGTATACAGTTAGTGTGGGGAGGGTAAGAGAAGATGAGAGTGGGATCTTTGATTTAAAGTTTGTTGCTCTAAGTCATAATAGTGAGTACTTCTCTTGGTTTGATTGTTTAACTTTTAGTACTATCGCTTACTGTTTGGATAGCTGTTATTGGTGCAGCAGGAAGTTCGATACTAAACGCTGAGGCAGCAGTTCTTAAAGGGTATATATGAGTTAACAGTATTGATCCATATGATAGGAGAGATCAAAAAAACACATGCTGTAGTATAAAAGCTATAGATTCTAAAAGCAAGATATCTTTAACTAAAGCCACAACATTTGACAGCGCTTATTGCAAGTAAAAGACCTTGTTCTTAGGCATAACAGTTCTTAGGAGACTGATAAGAGCTCTGACAGAACCCTAGGCTTAGGTTGATGCGCCTTTACAAGATCACTAGAACAAATGAGAAGGGGTACTACACGCTGAACGGTATTAGGGGAGATAGCCCTGGAATTCAAGATATATACCCTGGCAGCTGCTTGAAGCTTTTCTATGGGCGCTCTCAGTTTCCTTACAGTGCTAAAGACGAAGTTTCAGAATCTTACAATTTTGAAGGTAGCCTGGAAGGCGATCCTAGAGATCTGGGTTGCTATTCTTGGAGGGGGCCTGGATGAGTTGCCAGGCAGGACGATATGCTTTGGCTTCCATTTCTGACCTATTAAGAGATCAAGAAAAATAAGATAAAGAACCAACTTCCACGCTACGAGATTCGCTTATTCTTAATTTATGGCCAGGGCATTTTCTTTCAAGAGTGCCTACCCATTGAGATCGCTTTTCCTGAACGAGTCACGTAGCACCTCGAAGCGAAGTGGTTACCAGCTTGGTCTCAAATCACTGATATATGTTTATCCAGTAGTTTTTTATAGTTTCCCATTACAGTCGCCAGTCGTAAGTTTTCACTGGGGCGAGTGGGGCATGATGTGATGTCATTTTGTCCGACTAGAATGGGACCGACATCACCGAAATTATGCAAACTACCATTTTTAGTGCCCGCTTCTTTCCACTATTCAATATCATTTCTAGGCTTTGAAGAATACCAATTTACTTTTTGGCAGCGTAAGGTAGTGAAGGGAGGGTCACGTTACCGGTGCAGCAGGGCGGTGGTACTTAGAGGTTCTAAACTGTCACTCCTTTACATCAAGAACACTATCGAAGATTATCACAATAACCACGCTTTTTAGAGAGACTCTATCTAATCCATTCTCTTCTCTGCCTCTTATTTGATAAATCACGTACTTCAGATATGTGATATCTCGAGATTTGTTCAATCCGCTTCTTTGTATTAAAGTACTCCTTGTGCCTTAATTTGCTACCTCTCTTGTTGTGTGGGTGTACGGGTCGTGGCCCGCCACAGTACAAAGTATCTGGCCTCAAAAATACTTGCCCGGATTGTCAAGAGCGACTTCAAGCTAAATAGGGTTTAATCATGTTTCCGCTCCAATGGTCTGGAACCAACAATAGGTACGAGGACTTTCTCATCGATACATGCACGTATTATTGCGGCAATGGAGTGGGTTGGAGAGAAGCAATGCTAAAGGGGGCATCGAAGGAGAAATTGGTCAAAGTCATGCAGCTTTAGGCGCTGTAAAAGATAGACCAGAAGCGAGAGACTATCATGTGGATGTTGAATTTGGAAAATCACAACTTCCAGACGAGTTATCTCAATGAATGATAATGTACCCCCGGGCTGATTGAACTTGAGACTACGTGTCGCTAGTGACAACTTGTGAAAGGGCGATCATTGCGATGTGCCAACTGCAAGAACCAGCATATTTTGACTGCGCCTAAGTAAAAGCTTCGGGGAGACTCATGCTGTCATTCAGAGACTGCGCAGGGAGTGGTGATACTCGTTTGAATACACCACCCACGGCTCCTGATGATTCGGCAAGTCTTTGCTGATACGGATTGGTAAAAACACTGCAGCAAATGCACGACTGCATTTGCCTAACTAGAATAGGAAGCTCAAGATGTAACCTTGCACCCCTCAACAAATTACAGTCTTGTTACAGAGCACCAATGACGCTCGACGTCGAAGGGAAGCATAGTTCCTGGTGCGGCTAAAGGCTTGGATAAACAAGCTTCTGGGGTATCTTGGCGTACTACCTTCCTAAAGCTTGTCTCTATGGAGATCTTCGGTGATTTGTGCATCAGTATGACCTACTAGATCCAACATTCGCTGAACCAACGCCTCAATTTTGTGGATCACTTCCGAGTCTGCATGGTAAAATGAATCTGACAGGTACAAATACCACAGTGAGTGCCCAGTTTCCTGTTTTACTCGATTTGATCTTGGAGAAACAATCATGGCGACGATGGCGTTGCTAAGAACTGTTCTGTCAGCTCTTGCCTGTGCTTCAGCACTGAGTGCAGTGGTGATACCATCTCATCATGAGATACACGAGAAACGAAACACCTTGCATCCGAGATGGGCCAAAAAAGATTGAGTACCGCCTCACAAGCTTTTGCCCATGCGAATTGGTCTGGCGCAATCCAATCTAGATATAGGGTATGAGCATTTGATGGACGTGTGAGTTGCTTGTTCGATTCCCTGATTTTTTGTTCTTTCTAACACTTCGAAGTTCAGACCCTGTGTCGCCCAATTTCGGAAAGCACTGGACCTCCGAGGAGGTGATTGATGCCTTTCGACCTTCGGACGAGACCGAACGAGCTGTTCGGGAATGGTTGGTGGACAGCGGCATACCATCTGTGAGGATATCTCACTCAGAGAACAAAGGATGGTTCGCATTTTATGCAACCGCTGAAGAAGCCGAGAATCTTCTTCTCACCAAGTATCACGAGTACGAGGATGCGAAGACCGGGGGAATTCTCCCAGCATGTGATCAATATCATGTACCAGCACATATTCGGCACCACATCGATTACATTACCCCGGGTATCCGGATGCTCGCTCCTGTCGAATCTCACAATTCACAGAAGAATGCGCTTCTGGCGAAGAGGGATGCTGCGCTTGCTCGGGATGGACTTGACAAGAGGATAATCCACAATTTATTGAAGGCTGAAGCATGGCACCGTCCGAAACCTGATGATCTGAGCACTTGCGATATTGCGATAACCCCAGCATGTGTCGCTGCTCTCTACCAAATTCCAAAGGCTAAGCTTAGGAGCCGAAAGAACTCGTTGGGTATCTTTGAGTCCGAATTACAATTCTACACCCAGACGGACCTTGATTCTTTCTTCACCAACTTCACGAGTTACATTCCAAAAGGAACCCATCCGGTCGCAGCCAACATCGATGGAGGGCAGCAAGCGACGGAAGATCTTTTTGAAGCCGGTGGAGAAGTCGATCTTGATCTCCAGCTTGCTTATCCTATCGTCTATCCTCAAACGATCACATTGTACCAAGTTGATGACTTCATTGTTCAAGCAGACCAACTCGATACTTACACATATGGTTTCAATACCTTCCTCGATGCTCTCGATGGGGTGAGTTCCAAGTGTGGACGAATTGCTGAACACTTGCTGACATTCTAGTCCTACTGTACTTTTTCAGCGTACAATGAGACCGGCAATGATCCAAAGCTGGATCAAGCATACCCTGATAATCGCATCGGAGGTTGGCAGGGTCAACTGATTTGCGGGGTGTACAAACCCACCAATGTGATTTCACTTTCATATGGAGGACAAGAGTCAGACTTGCCGATCTCCTACCAGAAGCGTCAATGTCTTGAGTACATGAAATTGGGACTTCAGGGAGTCTCCTTCTTGTATGCATCAGGAGATTCTGGTGTTTCAAGTCAGTTCATCGTCCCTTTGGCAGTACCACAGAATTGATGAGATACAGATTACCCCGGAGACATCGACGGCCCAACTGGTTGTCTCGGACCCAAATTGAACGTCTTCAACCCCACATGGCCAGGAACCTGTCCATACGTAACTTCAGTCGGAGGAACCAAAGTCTATCCAGGCTCCAAGGTAACAGATCCGAATCCAGAAAGTGCAGTTTATGATCCTGCCGGCCATCCATACTCGGTCAACTTCTCTTCTGGGGGTGGCTTCAGCAACATTTATCCCATCCCGAAATATCAAGCTTCAGCTGTTGCGACATTTTTTCAGAAGCACAACCCACCATACAAGTATTACTCTGCACTGAGCCCTGATACGAGCAACATTTTCACTTTGCCTGATATTGCTGCCCTCGCTGGAAACACTGGTGGAATATACAATCGAATCGGTAGAGGTATCCCAGATGTGGCTGCGAACGGTGACAATATTGCTGTAAGTAACAATACTCGCTTTGCTAGAGATCTTCACTGAGCAGCCATGTAGGTTTACAATGGTGGTAACTTCACGTTATCGGGCGGAACCTCAGCAAGCACACCCATCTTCGCGGCTGTGATCAATCGTATCAATGAGGAACGGATCAATACAGACAAAAGTCCCATCGGCTTCTTGAATCCTAGCTTATATGCTAACCCATCAATGTTCAATGATATTGTGAATGGTGAGTGAAGTGTGTTGTTCTCGTGCTTGGCAGGTACTGATGCTCTACAGGAACCAACCCTGGGTGTGAAACATCAGGATTTTCTGCAGTGCCCGGGTACTTCTCATCCCTCCAAAGTGTCTTCGGATTGTGCTGATGAGTTTCTAGCTGGGACCCAGTAACTGGTCTTGGAACACCGAATTATCCCAAGATGTTAAAATATTACATGAACCTGCCGTGAGCAGATCAGAGCTGTCAAAGGCGTTATCGCACACGTATATATATCTCTCAGTACTGTAGCCTAAATTCAGATCAGAAGCTCGTAACATAATCCACTTCTGAAAGCGAGATAGATTATCTGTCAATGCCTCTCTGTCGTCATCCATCCAGTTCCTTCCCTTCGCTGATGTGAGTTCAGATGTACGTGTCGCTTGCTTTCCACTTTCTATACGGGAAACATTTATCACTCGAATGTCAAGCCCTCAACGTCAAAATTTCCACAAACCGATGACAACATCAGGATTGGTGAATCACATGGTGTCCGCAAACCATCCAGTAGTTTTTGTTGCGAACCTTTGCCGGTTGCTTGGTCACGCTCCACGAAGCTATTCTCGCCTACACCCCTTTTCGCTTCAAGGTACTGATTCACTAGCTCGTTCACTATGTCGCGACGGTCAGTCGCTTCTACAACTAATATCAATGAAAGAACGATTTATTTTCCGGTTTGGGACACTTAGTTGTCAAGAGACGTTTGTGAATCATTCACCAGTTTATTTGCGAATTGCAGTCAGAAATCCAATTGTTCATGGATTAAAGAAACCACCCGCTCCCCAAGATGTGACTTCACAGACCCAAACCACAAGACAATCACCAACAAACCTCGATCACCCACAAATTCCCTCCAAACTCACTTCACACATTTTCTCAATGCAAGAAACTCCTCCTTCATCATGATGTCCATCACCCGAACCATTCGCCAGAAGCTGCCCAGCAACCTCAAGGCGGCTTCCAGCTTCTCACAGACCGCAGTCAAGACACCCCCAGCGGCCAGCATCCACACTGTGAAACTCGTCCATCTTCACGAAACTCTTTATGCATCCAAAGAGCCTAAAATCCAGTTCCGAGGTTTGCAGATACCTCATTCCCCAACGTGCCCACTGTCATCCCCAGCCCTTCAGGACCAAGCCCGTGTCACAGCCACAACACCCGACATGCTCTACGGCATTAACCCACCAGCCAGAGCTTCGATCGCTGGTGCAGCTAAGAAAACGATCTCTGCATTGATCTCGTCCTCAGCTGAGGTTCAGATTAATAAGTTTCGGGAGAGCCATGGTCGCTTCCAGAACAAATACCTATATGGCAACCCCCAACCATTGCCAACGCCAGCTTCGAGTCAAGTAAGTATTGGTGAGAAAATCGCATTCTGTACTACATCTAACTTTTCTGAGAAGAAAAATACGCCAACGACTACTGAGCCAAAAGCCACTCCCACTTCTGAAGTAGTGTCCGAGATCAAGAAGGATGTCGCTGCATCGGTCTTTGGCAACAAGGTCAAGAAAGCTCAGCGAGCCCTGGGTAATGAAGACCTATCAAATGCATTTGACTTGTAGACCATTATTCTCTCTGGTCAAGCGGGGGCGTTGCTGTTGGAGACGACTTTACCTTTTATGATTGTTTTCGTCTTGGGATTCGGTTGGGCAACGAAAGGCATCCAGATTAGGAAAGCGGTATACGGGGAAGCAAAACCAACGTCCTAATTCAATATCCTTATAGTTCGTGGCATAAATAAATCTACAACTTCAAATCCGTGATGTTCCAAAGCGAAGTGTGAAAAAAGCGCCATATAACTGTCTGGCTGTGTTGATATTCAGACACTGTTCAGGCAGCGACGTCCGGAAATTAGAGCATTCATAAACCTGACACCTCTATCCAATCCATGCCGCTGATATCTTCTATCCCATACCATTCATTCAATCCCAAAGATGGATCTTCTCCTGTTTCTCCAAGACGTCCGCGAGAGTAAATGCCTGATTTATGCCAGTGGAGCGTCCAATTTCTCGAGATCGATCAACAATCCACCGACCTTGGTCAGTAAATTCTGTATTTTGTCCAACAATCAACAATGGCCAACAATCAACAATGGCCAACAATCAACAATGGCCAACAATCAACAATGGCCAATAATCAACAATGGCCAAAAAAGGCTGCAAACAGCATGAGCATGTACCGATGACCCAGGCAACAGTTTTGGAGAGTGCCTTGACAGACAATCCTGTCGGACCAAGAGAGGGACGTAGCCTGAGTATTGTGGAACAGTTGCACAAATATCCATGCCTAGCTGCTGAATGAGGCTTCTCGATCTAGATTGCCGAAGTATATCTGGAATGGCTGCTAGTTCTGCTTGCCGACAGATCTCTTGTTGCAAAAGTATGCGGCAGGTACGCAGGTTATTCCAGAAGTAGGCAGCCCAGAAGCTGGGGTAGATGTGATAGAAGCCACCACAGACTAATTCAACGTTGCAGTGTAGCTCCATAATATCGAACCTATGTTCGATGGGAAGAAAAATGGCCAGGGTGTATAGACTTGTATCCAGATCCAGAGCAGCAGTGATGATGATATTCGGCGTGCAGAGTACTTTTTCTTTCACATTCGCTCTGAACTCCACAAATGAATGATCAGATCTCCTAGCATACAGGCAGTGTCTGTATCTCCAAGGAGTGCGGCTGCGTGGGATCTGGCTGCAACCACCACGGGCGGAACCCGAACCGACCATTGCAAACATCCACGGCATATATCTCCGCACATCTGAACAAATAGCTGCATCCCTAACCTTGTACGGAACTGTTTGTGTCCTCTGAGTTCAATGATTGTCGTAACACCCTTCGTATGCATATCGCAGTCCTTCAAAGACTTTTGATCTTGGCAAGTGATTGTCTCAAATGTAGCTAGCAGCATGATGGATATCACCGTCGTGTCTTTGATCGCCTCGTCTGGGGTCATCAGAGCCTTGTTGATGCAGCGAATAGCAGCTCCGAGAGTTGATCGAGCCTTGCATGAGTATCTCAGTCGATTGGACCGTGTTACCATATGCCGCCAGAGCTGCTGCATTAAGGCTACAGTAGCGGAGAAGCTTGGGTCTCGACGATTACCGAGTCTGAACTCTGGAGGTACTCGAAGCATCCCCTGACAAACACTGTATCGCGGGGTACGTGTGAGGCGAGGAAGAGATCGATTGCTCGGTCACTTACTGGCTGAATAATGTGTGGAGGTGAACTTGTGCTCAAATGTTGCATTTCATCGTGCTGCACGGGATATATGTGCTTGGGTCCTCTGCGGCAGCATTTTCACTATGGTCAGCTCCAGGATACGAACTTTCCTTGAAATCCGTCACTGTCCAGTTCTGGAAGAGTCGTCCCGTTACATCGTCGTATTGAGGGCAGACCCACTCAGCCTTGGTGCACTGCTTACAGCTCGGTTGGGTTTCATCGCACTGTAAACATGAGAATTACTTAGACCCATGGTATGAAACAGCATACCCGTATCTTTCTTTTCCTACATGTTCCACACCCTCTAGAAAGCCTTCCACGACGGCTCATCTCCGATAACAGTATGCAGTTTTGGCGCTATACAATTTTTTGGCTGGCATCGCTCGAAAGACAATTCCCATCGCTCATAACCGTCCTCTGCTGGAGTAAATCATCAAGGGCACAGCCTCAGTATTTCTGCTACCGTCGGCAACGAGATGTCCCGCAGGACAAAATTTAGCAGCTCATGATGCTGCTGACTACTCGCTCACATGCGCCTCCAGACTTGGCAATGGCAAGGACTACCTAGTCCGGCTCTAAAGAATATCGCGATGCGGCCAAACAAAGGCGCAGGAGCGTTTAGCGAAGGCGTGTAAACATTCAGGGGCCGGGGGCCTGGAGTCTGAAAGGAGGCCAAGAATATTCATGTCCGCGAATGATCCAATTTGAAAGTCATATGCTTTGTAAGTTCCTTTGATAACTCTTAACTGTTGATGAGTTTGAAGAGGTTGGAGGAAAGTATATATCTCGAAGTATTCACACAGAATATTCCGCGCTGGCACGAAATTCCGCCCTCATTTACCCACAAAGCAAATTTCGTAAGACCAGTACATCCCCCACTAACGTTTTGGAACAAACATGTCAAACATGTCGGTTCTCATCACAGGCTGCAGTAAAGGAGGTATTGGCCATTCTCTCTCGCCCTAGCATTCGCTCGTCAAAACTATCGCGTCTTCGCTACCGCCAGGACTCTCTCCAAGATGTCCTCGATGTCCAACAGTCCCAACATTACCCTACTCGAAATAGATGTCACATCGCCGACCTCAATCAAATCTGTATTTGATGCCATTTCCAAAGCTACGTCTGGAAAGCTGGACATTCTCTATCACAATGCAGGAGTTCGTTCCATCACCATGGCTATCCACAGCGACTGGGCCCTGGCCGAATGGACGTCAAAACGAATTTTTTTTCGCGGTAGTGGAATTGACTAGGGCTTTTGTGCCACTGATATTGAAAGCTGGTCTCGGGAGCAAGATTGTGTTTTCGAACAGCGTTGCGGCTGTGGCGCCGATGCCGACGCAAGTTCTTTATGATGCATCAAAAGCAGCTTTCAAGATGTATGCAGATGTTCTCAGGCTCGAATTGGAACCTTTGGGGATTTACATCGTCAATGTCATGACTGGTGAGGTAGGCACGACGATGGCGGAGCAGTGTCTGGAGAAGTTGCCGCAAGGTATTTTTCAGTCTTCCATTTTTCTTCCAGTGAGCTTATCCTCTCCAGGATCACCATATGAATCCATTCGAGACATTATCAATAAGTCATGGTCAGGCAGAAAGACTGTGATGCCGGTGAGAGAACACACTACCACAGTTGTTGAGAAAGTCTCTCAGCAGCATCCTCCAAAGCAGATATGGCTTGGCGGGAATGCGCTATTGGTGTGGGTTATAGAATTGCTCGGTTTGCATTGGCTCTACGGTTTCATGTTCAGAAAGGAGTATGGTTTGGATAAGCCTTTGTTATGTAACGTGGGGCAGAGTTAATTGAAATTTGATGGCACGAGATAGTACGATCTCGGGATGACGTGGATAGACCATTATCGCACAAGTCGAGTCATAGCTACTGTACATATATTATCTTTTCTCAGATTTGGTTCAAAGTAAAGATGGTAGCAGACTAATGCTAGTAGCTTCCATCACGAGCTAGGTAGTGCGAATTTTGGTACCGACACTGAGACCGAGAGGTGTAGCTTCCATGTCCTTTTGGGCTGGCATTATCATAATTCTGCCCGCAATATAGTACATAAATTCTGGACAGCTGTCAATCAGTGAGCATAACTGTTCAATATCATACCCAAACTGAATCTCAAAAATTGGTGAAAATGCCATCCCCAACAGAACTCCACAGCTTCGGAAATCTCTACCTGTCCACTAAAGACCACCATCCACCAGTCATGACTGGACATACCAATCATCCATCCACCCCATGGAGTCTCACCAATATACCCCAAGCCATGAATTATCTCATCCAGTGGACAGACAAGCACTTATTTAATCCTGCTTCGCACCACCGAAATATTCTGGACGAGATACTCACACGAGTTTTGGAAACTCTCCTTCCTCTTACCATTGCCCAGCGAGGTGTTGTACTGGACAAATCCTTGAAGGGAACCATGAAAGAGAGAAAGAAAATGTGCTTAACGATTTATACCTCAGACCATTGGGAGGAATTTGTCGAAATATGTCCATCTGATAATGGGCTTACCAAAGAGCAGAGATGGTGAGTTCTTGGAACCTAGCAAGGTGGCTGTACTTCCTGACTAACTTTTGTCAGCGATATAATTAATTATCTCCAAATCCTCAGGGTACTCGAAGATGTCGTAACGGATGTATCCAGGAAGCATATCGAATACCAAGCATCTGTTTCTGATTTCAATATCAAAGGGTCACTTCATTCTCTCAGACACTTGCTCAAGTACGAGGCCAAACTCTGCATTCTCGAGGACGAGCGGCACGTGAGTGTCATGCACAGTTTGATCATCAGGAGCGATGCGGACCATGATAATGATGATCACAAGGCTGAAGAGTATGAGACGGTTTTGGAAGAGGAGGGATTTGAGAGCAACTACTATTACGAGGATGAGAGCCAGGATACTTTTATCCAGTACACAACGAAATGGCTTACACGGTGCGTGAAGACATTTTGGGATATGGTGTGGATCACTCATGAGTCTGTGGTTGATGTGGCATTTACTTGAGCGTTTTCATACCTAAAAAGACTGGCATTAATCTCATGCTCTGAAACCTTGTACAGAGTCAACATCGCAGTGCTAAATACAAGCCTTAAATCCTTACTGGTCGTGAAAACACATGCAAAAGATTTGATTCATGTCGCTACTTCCGAAAAACAGAAGCCCATTCTGCTCCGAGTTGAGATGGTTGCTCCTTCCAATATGAATCATCGAGGTTGTGCCTATGTATCATCGAGTCCCATAAGCACTGAATGCAGCTGAGTACACGACATCATTTTACCCACAATCACTATCTCTCAACATGCCAAATTTTACTGGATTCCCCCCAGATTACCTCGTCTCCTCCTCCTCCTCTGAAGTTCCACTCCTCGTCAATGACGTGAGGCGCTTGACAGAAGCGGCCAGAGACGCAGCCACAAAACTGTACAAAGGACGGCCCAGATACTGGATCTTCAACTTTAACCTCGAGAACATGCCCCACGTCATGGTGCAAATCATGCTCTTCGGCGACATCACGAAACCAGAATCGAATTCGCCGGAAGATCTGGAAAGATTGATCAGGCAGTACATAAAAAACAAGATTGACCGGGAGCTACGAAAAAAGCACAAGGGCGATGATCCCAAGAAAGATTATTACACTGTAGAAGGGCGGTTGGACTATTTGGGGGCGGCGCTGGAGGACTTGAGATTGATGGAGGATCGTATCCATGAGGTGAAGGCAGGTCTGGTGGGGCAGAGGTTTCCATTAAAGTATTCGGGGTAATGGTTTCGAGGATTCTCTATTGGCTGCTGACAGTGCATTGACTGGTACAGTTTCTTCCAGGCGTATTTTGCTCGTCTGGACATGTTGCGAACCGAGCTTATCACAATCCAAAGAATATTTTGGAGCTGGAAGCTGGCCCAAGATTCTTGGTCGATCGACTCGATCTTCCAAAGACTCCGAAAGTGCATACCTCAAGAAAGTCAGGAGGCCAAACAAAGATCGAAGGGACACATGGTTCATGGACTTTAGCAGCTTCTTGAGATCCCAGAGAAATACCGATGGACACCGCAGGAAGAGTTTGGAAATATTTGGTAAAGTACCAGGGAATAGCAGAGAGGTGACATTGTGACTTGTGGTTTGTAGAGTAGAACCAGGAAGAATGGATCTTTCCCTGGGCACTACAAACAGCTGTTCAATTCTAGGAGGTTCTTGAAACCCATCTGATATGGTGCACTTGCAACCTCCACGTTAAACAACTCCATCTACTAAACATAAATGTGCCGTCGAAAGAAAAGTAAGATACAAAACGATGCAAGAATGACGACAACATCCAGACTACCTCAAACTGCGTAGCCATCCAGCTTAATCTTAGTCTTTGCTAAGGTTGGGAGATTGCAAGATGTACATTCTGTTTTGGAGTCGTGTAACTCCACCGCCTAGGAAGTAAGTTGTAAGAACAAATACAGCAAACTGGTATTTCGAAAACTCGCAGCTCATCCGAAATTTTGACAACAAATGGATTGAAGAAGCCGTTTAAGATAGAAATGAAGCAGTAATAACCGACGGGGGAGCAAGAAAATGAGAACTGACAGAAGACGCAATCAGTATCGATTCCAATACCAAAACTCCAGCTACGCGGATGATTAGAATTTTCAGAGGCATGAACAAAAACAAAGGCCAGTGCTATGACACAAGAGTTACCCGCAGCAGGGCCATCATCTCTCGGCAGGGCTCGGTGCTGTGCTTGTTGACCTCGAACTTGCTGGATACGTGAATGATCAGGAGAAGAGCTTGGACGAGCCAGCTTGCACTAAACCCAACCTGGGAAGAGAGATAAGAAGGTAAACTTCAAAGAACTTTAGAAAAGTAGCCAAGCTTTTCAAAGAGAAATATCAGAAAGAGTTATCACAAGCAGTCAATCATGAGAGAGGGAGGAGAAGAATGGTCGTCGTTGAAATCCACCCTCTTGGCCCAAGCTCCAGCCACAAGCGCCTCCACCTCAGCCGCGTCAAAAAAGTTTCCGCGTCTCTCGCCAACCCCACCAAGACACTCCTTTCCCCTCCCAGCACCAGAGCACAATATCCCCAACCCAATCCAATCCACTACTCAACATGCCACTCGACACATCCACCTACTCGCTCGCGCTCCTCCGCCTCGACGGCCGCAGATGGAACGAACTCCGCCGCCTAACAGCACAAATGCGGACCCAAGCTGCTGCAGACGGAAGCTCGTACCTCGAGATGGGAAACACCAAGGTGATATGCACGGTTAGTGGGCCGAGTGAGGGGAGATCTGGAGGAGGAGGAGGAGTTGGGGGAGGACAGAGAGACAAGGCGAGTATAGAGGTGGGTATTAGTGTTGCGGGGTTTAGTGGTGTGGATAGGAAGAAGAGTGCTGGGGGGAGAGGTGACAAGTGAGTTTTTCTTCTTTTCCAAGGTTATTTCCCCTCTTGCCCTATAATTCTGGACACATTCGACATGAAATTTGCCTCCAATGTAAATGGAGCTTCAATTGGAGCATGGGACTGGATTCGAGATACTTCAAAGTGGGCTTTAGCTGATGCGAGACTCAAACAGACGCCTCACCGAAATGTCCCTCACCATCTCCTCCGCCTTCTCCCACACCCTCTTCACACACCTCTACCCCCACAGCACCATCACTCTCTCCCTCCACATCCTCTCCCAAGACGGCTCCCTCCTCGCCGCCCTCCTCAACGCCTCCACCCTCGCTCTCATCGACGCCGGTATCCCCATGCGGGATTACATCTGCGCTTGCACGGCGGGTTCGACCTCTTCTTATTCCTCGAATGACGAGAAGGCTGATCCGTTATTGGATTTGAATGGTATGGAGGAGCAGGAGTTGCCGTTTTTGACGGTCGCGACGGTGGGTGAGACGGATGATGTTGTGGTGCTGGTGGCGGAGAGTAGGGTGCAGGTGGGACGATTGGAGGGTATGCTTGCGGTAGGGGTGGATGGGTGTAAGCAGGTTAGGGAGATCCTGGATGGGGTTGTTAGGGAAAGGGGAGCGAGAATTTTGGAAGGGAGTAAGATATAGGGTTCTAGACGTGCTGGAATCTGGGAATACGCAATAGAGGCTGGGGATGGTTGAAATGCAGCATGCTGGAAAAGGGTTTATAGCTCAGAGGTACCGAATTGGAAGTTAGTGGTGTGAGATGGGAGGAGAAAATACGGAGGAATGGCTACAGACGCTGGGCCTGAAGACATTGGCACTGGCTGTGTCGATGTTCAAAGTTGCATAGCACCCAAGTGCTAGACTGGGACATCGAACACCGAAGAGTACGAAAGCAGCAGAAGGGTTTTCACAGATACTAGACTGGGTATAGAGGGAGGCAATGGCTGCATAGAGGAGAGCGAGCATGATACCCTGGCGTTCAGGAGTCGAAAAATTGTAGTGTAGATCTAAATCAAGGAAAAGTCTTCCCGAATATCTTGGTCAACCCATGAATGTGAACGTAATGTGGTTTCTTTCTCATTTCGATTCAGTGTCACCTCTCCCAACCAATCGACTACTGAGATGGATTTTCATTAGATAAATCTGCATATGAGCTTGATTCCTTCAATGGTCAGTCAGTACTTGGCTGTCTCTTACCTACCTCCTAGCTCAATATTATTGAAGAGGCCGGAGGATCATGGGTATATTACGAGATGTTATCTAAGGTCTTGCGAGCAGCCCGCCAAACCTTCACCAGCTTCGTCGCAGAATTGACGCTTCGTTCCAAGAGGCAAGCTCATATCAGGTCGATCGAAAAGTGCAATTGAGAAAGTGCTATCAGAATTTGATTCCAAAGCTATTGTATTTTACACCTCGATATCTCCGTCCATTCAACTCAAATCACAACCTACAGCTCGTCATGAGCCTCCGCATCAGCAACCTTCGTCTCCTCAACCTTAACCTCCTCAACCGTAACAGTCGTCTCCTTCCCCGCCTCCGCCACAATCGGCTCCTGCTCCTCAACCTTCTCCTCCACCTCAGGCTCCTCAGGGATCAAGCCCTCCGGCAACTTCTTCTTCGCACCCTCACCCAACCGAATAGCATCAACCCAGTTCTCCACCGTCTCCTCGCTCACTTCCGCCTCGACGACCGTCTCCCCTGCACTAGGCAGCTTCTTCCACCATCCGCGACGGCCGTTAATGGCGATGACTTCGATGCTGGAGCCTAATTTCAAGGAATCTTTGATCTTTTTGAAGCCTGTGTTGTGTTCGGTGATGATGTAGAAGGGGAAGAGTTTCCGCGCGTGCTGTTTGTGCTTGTGTGCGATTTCGGAGAGGGATCCTACGGCTGCGGCGGCCACTTCATCGGGTGAAGATGGCAGAAGAGCGAGGATACATGTCCCTGTGCGCGGGCCGAGACACTCACTTTCGAGTTCTGCTTCTGTGGCAAGGATGGGGATCGGTGGTGCCGGGAGGACGACGGGCTTCTCGGACTCGACTTCTGGTTGGGGAGATTCGGTTGCGGAGTCGATAATTGTCTCGTCTGTTGCAGTTGGGCCACCGGTCTCTCCTTCGGCTGATGCTTGGGATTTGGAAGAAGCTTCGAATTCTACTTTGGCTTTCGACGCTTTCTTGGAGTCATTAGATTTGGACTTGACCTTGACCTTTGCGGGTGCGGGGTCTTGGTTGGGTTCTGCTGCTTGAGACAAGAACTTTACCATGGACTCCTTCTTCATCTCTCCATCGTATACGATTCCCTCTGCCTCCTTGCCTCCTGGAAGGAGTAGCAGGGTGGGGAACTTCGAGATGCCGAATAATTCCAATGACGCCTTCTCCTTGTCCGTGTTCCGAATCTGCGCAACGTTGATGCTGCCCTTGAAATCGATCGCAATAGCCTTTAGCAGAGCGCTCGTCTTGCCCTTGTCCGAGAACAAGATCGCCTTGGCGGTCTCATTCGACTCCGCCAGCCACGCCTCCAAAGTCTTGTCATCCACTCTCTTCACCAAGTTGGGGATCTTGTCAATCACCGCATCCACTATTCCCTTCGCTGTTCGTGGTCCATCATATGGTTCAACGATAGGTCGTCCTGGTGTCTTGCCTGGCTTGACAATCTTCAGAGTCGGGAAACCCTGTACACCCATCTGGCCGCAGAAGGGCTTGTTCATCTCCTCGTCGCAATCGATGGCTGCTACTTTTGCCAGACCTTGTAGATTCGCCGCTGCCTTCTCGTATGCGGGTTGGAGGTTCTTGCAGTGTCCGCACCATGGGGCGTAGAACTCGACAATCTGTTTGCGTTTGTGATTAGCCTGGAAGTCTGTCTGCGGGGTAGAGGAGGGGACGTACGGAGGTGTAGTTGGATTGAGCGATCAGGCGGTCGTAGTTCTTGCCATCGAGCTGGATGACTTTGCTGTTTTTGCCATAGAGTCCGGCATTGACGGGGAGAGCTGCGAGGAGAGCTGTTGCCGCGACGGCAAGAGCTTGCGTGTGGACCATCCTGTTGGATTGATTTGTTTGGCTTGGTTGGCGTACTACTGAGCTGTAGCAGCTGGAGGGACTTAATTCATAGATTGGTAGAGAAGAAAGGAAGAAGAGGAGGCAGATTAAAAGAAGTGGCCTGTTGTGCTGACTGCAGCTCTGAATAGTGACAAGCTGTCCTTTGCTGTGAATGGCAATGGCAAGGTGTAAGAAAGCAGAAGAGGGGACGAAAAGGCCACTTTGGCGTGTTTGAAATCCGGGGAAGCGCTAGCCAGGGGCAGCAGTTAGTGCTTTCAGGGGTGAGCTTTCGGCGTTGGTGGGGCGTGATGCCTGCGGAAAACAGAATAGATTAGATAGAATCTCTCTAAAGAGTGTAGTTATCGTAATAATTCCAAGTGGTGTGTTGTTGATGATGTCAAGGAGTGACGGTTGAGATTCTCTAAGTACCACCGCCCAGCTGCACTGGTAACGTGACCTCCCTTCACTACCTTAAAGGAAAGTGCTGCCCTGGGTACTCTGTCCTAAAACCGTCAAATCAAAATTAATAGCCAACAGTTACCTAGAAAAATGTTAATAGTCCCAAGACAGTAACTTGATTATCGACTGCGCAACAATTGTAGGTACAATAGTGTACTCAGTCCCGCGGTCCCTTCCATGGTACGCCAAGCACCAAAATCAGGTGGCCCTGCCGCACTACTAGGTAAGCTAGGACTAAACGGGCAGCCTACCACAGCCGGCATCTATTTCCAGGGTCCGAGGCGTCCGAGTCCCAGTTAAAGCCCACTTCTTCAGTTTCAAGCCTATCTAATCCTAGTAAATATTTTCGAGCTCTCAAGTCTTTAACGAACACGCGCCACTAAAAAACCACTCTAGACGTATTCTCTTTCTCGCCACCGCCGATTCTCTTCTCTGCTTTGAGAATCGCTAGACATAATTACCTGTTTTTACATCGCAGTCTTTGTTTTGGTCCCTAAAGTTTCATCTCTAATAAGCCTTTCTCCCTTGTTAAATCTTCAACTCTTTCAAGTTCAACCTCAATGGGCGGCCCAGAGCCTTCTATCGTCGAGAAGGGACCTGACGAAGCCTTCTTTACTCTATCGGATAATATCGTCCTTGAGGAACTGTACAAGGATATCAAAGATGTCAAGGGAGGAGCTAAGCCCTCGCTGGGCGAAGACCGCCCCTCTCTCAAGCTCTTGGAGAGTATGAGCAATCCAAAAGATCCAGACTTTCAGCCTACCGTATTCTCGACCTGGGATTACAAGCTTGCAGACCTGGACAACAAGACAATCAATTCCATTCGTTCTGTAATTCTTTGCAATTACATCACGTGGGCGAGGACAGTGGTACGCCACGAAACAGATGTTATTTTTCTCTCGCATATTATCATGTACTGTTGTACTTTAATACCGAGTGCTTTGTATCTGTTTTTTGGAAACTTCACCTATATTCATGGCATAATACATTTGCTCATTACGGTGTGGTATTCTGGCGGCTTTACTCTCATGATGCATAACCATATTCATAACAATGGAGTCCTCGCCAAACCTTACGCTACTTTCGATTGGGCATTTCCATACGTTCTCGAGCCACTCATGGGCCATACATGGGATTCTTATTACTACCATCACGTCAAAGCCCACCATGTCGAAGGGAATGGACCTGACGATCTCTCAACAACAATCCGCTACCAGCGAGATTCTATATGGTGTTTCTTTCAATATGAAGCTCGGTTCTTGCTATTATGCTGGTTTGATCTCCCAATGTATTTCATCAACAAACGGAAATATAACTTAGCTTTTAAGGCTAGCTCCTTAGAGTTTGCCTCATACACATATTTGTATCTCCTCGCCAGATGGCAATTCAAGCCCGCGCTATTTGTTTTCCTGCTTCCGTTTTTAATCATGCGTATTGGACTCATGCTTGGGAATTGGGGTCAGCATGCCCTTGTTGATGATTTGGAGCCTGACTCGGACTTTCGGTCGAGTATCACGTTGATTGATGTTCCTGTAAGTGTATCTCCTTATCTTCCCGGTGTCAACATCCTGTAGAGGATATCATTATTATCACTCCAAAATACAAAGTTAACACATCACAGTCCAACCGCTTCTGCTTCAACGATGGCTACCACACTTCTCACCACCTCAATCCACGCCGTCACTGGCGTGACCACCCACACGCATTTCTCAAAGCTAAAGAGCGCTACTCTAAAGAAGGCGCCTTAGTCTTCCATAATATTGATTACATGGAGATCACATTCAGAGTATTAACGAAGAATTATATGTACCTAGCGCAACAGATGGTCCCGATTGGAGATCAAATAGGTATGACACAAGTCGAGCTGGCAGAGATATTAAAGAAGAAGACCAGGAGATTCAGCGAAGAGGAGATCAGGGCTAAGTTTGGGAAGAAGTGAGTTGGTGAGCGTTGGTCCGTAGACCTGTAGAGTGGAAATATAGGGGGCAATCAGGGGGAACGGGTAATCCCAGTTGTAGGACGGATCTCTTTCGGAGGCTAGCCGGGGGCCATTCGGGGAGTGGTATATATTCTAACCCTTAGATACTCTTTACAATACACACTTTTGAACACCTTTGAATTGAATATTTGTTTACCGGTACGATACCAACACTAATGGCGAACAGTACCCCTTGATAAATCATCTTATGTATACCAGAACAGAGAAACGGAGGAATAAGAGAAAGAGAGGTAAAAAGAAGGGAAACGGAGCTTTCGTCTGTATTATGCCCAGACAGCTCCCTGCTATTAACATGAAGATAGCTACATCCCACTACTGTAGGACGAGGTCTTCTCCCCGGCGGCCCTCCGCAAGCTACGGGGCCAGGGAACCTCGCTTCGCAAGAGTCTAGTTCATGGCTAAATTATCGCGTTTTAAAGGGAAACCTACTGTAAAGGAATGTTCTTTTAATGTTATTCTAAGCCTGTCACCTATGCTACCTTATTACGGTCCAATGCATAAGTAAATCATCGCATTTCTAAGGGAAACCTACTGTCAATGGATGTTCTTTTAGTGTTATTCTAAGTAGGGCCAGGGAACCCTGCTTTTCAAGTACACAGGTAAATCATCATGTTTCTAAGGGAAACCTACTGTAAATAAATGCTCTTTTAATGTTGATTTTAGTCGAATCGTCGCTCGCAGGCTCGCACCGATCCAACTCGTAAGCGTGCCTTTGCTTTTATGTTATTTGATTATTCCTATCCCTTCGAGCCTTATTACTCCTTCTGTTTTGCTCTCGACAGCTGTTACAGGTAAGAAACCTACTACTAAAGTTAGGTAAAGGCTTTTTTGATTACACAAAGAGCATATCTGAGTCGAAGGCACTTCTAGAGGCTTTTGCGGAGAGTCTTGCGGAGGCTTTTACGGAGGCTTTCCTAGGTCTGTGAAGCTCTCTTGAGTATCCGAATCCTCTTGACTTTGATCCTCCCAGTCCTCTTGTGTATCCTCTCTATCTATGTAACCCTCTGGATCTTTGTCGCCTTCTTGCGGATCCTTGTAACCCTTCCACTGCGCATACAGACCTCTCTGCTATGTCTCACTCCTGTGGAACCCCTTGTACTAACATGCCTTTTGTTGTTTAAGTCTTAATCGATTCTGAAGGGCTCTCTCTACTACTTGCTGCCCTTATTAAAACCGGAATTGTCAAACAGCTAGAGAATCAGACAATAGCTTGCCTATTCAAACTTAATAGTCTTCTTGAACACGTAAAACACACGCGCGACACGTTGCTAAGGGTATCCTGTCAACTGTATCAAAGCTTGTGAGCTGTTAATATCGTTTATACGTCAAACAGCAAGTCAGGCAGGTAATACAGACAGGTTCAGGGTCAGGTAAGCGTCACCGCAGTTGCGCGCGCAGTCGGAATCGCCTGCAAGGGGCACATTGAGCTCTGTCATCTGCTATATCAAATTACGTAGTTGTGTAGTTACATAGAGGAGTTAAGTAAAGAGGTTGCGCGGTCTAAGGAATTGATGTTCCCCTGATCACGTGGCGGTGTCGTTTTACTATAGAAGATCGCTCACTGTAAGATAGATGGAAGGTGTATCTCTTATATTAAGGGTCAGGTGTAGAGAGAGGGTCTATCCATGAGGAGTTTTCCAAACCACGCCCATATTGGGAGTCACATGACCATTCACCCGGCCATTGAACCTGCAACAAGTATCTTTTATAACATTATAACCTGTATTGAGATGGATCAGGTATTTACGTTAGCTACTTGAGGGCTTGTTATACATGTATAAAGTAAAGTAGGATGTGAACGATAGGGGAAGGAGAATTAAGGGACGACACGTGATTGTCTTACTAAGCTACCTACGTAGTTCCAAGAACCTATAAGGTTTTCAGCCGTCTCACAACAAACACTGATCCAGATCAACCGCTTGTCATTCGCCTAACCGCTATTTATCTGTTGCCCAGCTGGACCACCAGCGAGGTCAAGACGAGGGATACGAAAGAACGCGACTATTTGAGTGCCGCTGGCACGGCGTTGTTACTGCGGAATTACACCTTCTGCCAATGTTTTCGAGACACCAAACGGGTGTCTCGAGAACGAATCTCCGTTCACTTGGCGGCCCACAACAAACGCTTGCTTTGGCTCTCGTCCTATGAATTCGGACATCCAAGCTTCTGGGCATCATCACCCTCCCCCTGGAAGATTGGCAGACGCGCAATTATGCCAGAACACAAATGGTTCCGCTGGCTTAGGTAGAGCACTGAAGACTCTTGATCAGGGCTGTGCTGGAACGGCCCTTGGCGTCCCTAGCAAGCCTATGTGTTTTGGCTTCCTCTGAACTCTTGTAGGTTCTTCCGTCCATCTGTCTCATCTTTCAACTCTCTCTGTCTGTCTGTTATTATCCCACAACTATACTATTTCCCCCAATCACCTACCCTCGCTGTTCAGTCTTCATCGCCTAGTCAATCGTTACCTCGAGGGCGCGGAGCTCTCGCATTTCCTTTCTGCGTATTCAGCGCTATCTTCTTTCGTTAATCGCCCGGCACATTGGACATTATGAGGTGGAGTACAGTTATAGGAACAGGGTCGCTGTGGATAATGGGAGTTAAGGCGGCTATCCCACTGGACCTAACCTCGAGACAATCGATAGTTGACGCTGCTGGCACTGTTGCATACGATCTGATGACCTACTACACTGGAAACAGGACTGGAGACACGCCTGGAAACTTGCCAGATCCATACTACTGGTGGGAGGCTGGGGCTATGTAAGTTCTATATCTGATTTTACTTGATCTCGAGTCAATGTACTGACGACTCCTGGGCAGGTTTGGAACGATGATCAACTACTGGTATTACACTGGAGACACAACATATAATACAGTGACAAAGCAGGCCCTATTACATCAAGTAGGCGATAATAATGATTTTATGCCGTTGAATCAGACAAAGACCTTGGGAAACGACGATCAGGGGTTCTGGGGAATGGCTGCTATGACCGCTGCAGAGACAGGATTTGACGACCCTCCAGAGGGCTCTCCCGGATGGCTTGCCTTGGCTCAAGGAGTTTTCAACACACAAGCACCTCGATGGGATACTTCGACTTGCGGAGGAGGTCTGAGATGGCAGATCTTCCCGTTCAACAGCGGATACACATATAAGAACAGTATCTCGAATGGCTGCTTTTTCAATCTTGCTGCGAGGTTAGCTTTATACACGGGCAATGCAACGTACGCAGAATGGGCAGAGAAGACCTGGGTTTGGATGAATGATATCGGGCTTATCAATGAGAAGTTCGAAGTCTTTGACGGAACCCAGAACACGGACAACTGTACCTCGAAAGATCACAACAAGTGGACGTACAACACAGGTATCTTCCTCATGGGTGCTGCCACTATGTATAATTACGTATGTTCGGACCCCTGGGTCTATATTATTAAGCTAACAATGTACCAGACTAATGGCGCCGATATCTGGAAATCACGCACCGAGTCTCTCATCACTGCCTCGAAGCAATTTTACCTCGACGGAATCCTGTACGAGCCTTGTGAACCGACCGGAAAATGTAACGTCGACCAACGTTCTTTCAAAACATACTTCATCCGCGAACTGGCTGCGACAGCTGAACTCGCACCATGGACGCACGATAATATCATCAAAGAGATCGAAACATCTGCCCTTGCTGCAGTGAAGACATGCACAGCAGGTGCCACTGGAACACAGTGCGGGTTGAAGTGGACAACAGGATCGAACGATGGAAGCCTAGGAGTAGGAGAGCAGATGGCAGTACTCGAGGCTATACAGAGCAACTTGGTGGATCAGGCCCCTGGATGGAAGAGTGATGTCAAAGGCACGGGTACCAGCTCGGGAGATTCCAATGCAGGATCGGGCAGCAAAACCAATCCGGACGAGCTAGCACAGATTGTGATCACGACTGGTGATAGGGTTGGAGCAGGAATCCTCACAGCACTTGTAATATGCGGCGTAATAGGAGGGAGCGCCACTATGATTTTGGGTGTCTAGGCGCATTGCATATTAGTATTTTTATTGTTTAGTTTTTTGTACCAAGTACTGCAAGGCAGTCGTAAATTCCCTATGTAACATACGAAATAGAGGCTTTCGATCAAATTTTCTTCTCTCTTCGTCTGTGATCTGGGATTATTCCTTTGAGAATTGACTTACATTTGTCGAATCAGTTCACGAGCGTCATTCTGCCACGATGATGGGATGATGTTCCCATTTATGAGGGGATGTTGACCTGCAGGACAGTAGAAAAGTTGATGCGGTCCGACGAACCGCACTGGCTCCCGAGCTCGGGTCACTCCTTTATGCTAAGATCCACGCCGCGACTGGAATTTATTGGTGGAAGTTCATTAAACTTCATCTCATCCTTAATTGCCTCCCGATCTCTCCATGTTTCTAACCCCATTCTGGATATACGGTACCGGTCCCTCCGCAATGCTAGCGGACCACATCTTGAGAAGTTTAATTTTTCTGCTCCTAGACTCAAGTACCCCGCAGCAGCAAGTACCCTGTGCCTGGGCAACTCCAGATTTTCTAGAAAATTTTGACAGTAGTTCGAATCGTCAATTTAGATTAAGTTGCTTGCCTAGCCCTTCGTTAAATCTCGGCCACTTTTCCTTCTCAGGCTACGGAGGAGACGTTCCGTGTAAACAGACGTAAGGATAGAGCTGTCAACATGTATAAACCCAGGGACAGCTTGCAGCTCCCCATGTTTTGTTCTTTTTCCAGTCATCTAAACGGTTCAATTCCTTGAATAGTTCATACAGCTACCATGAAGTTCACTACTGGAGCTGCAGCTTTGGCCCTTTTGGCTACTCAGTCAATTGCTTCTCCAACGAATGGACACGGCCATAACAAGAGACCAAAGGGCTTTCCTTATGCGGATGGAGAGCACTTCAAGCTTGATGGCAAGCCATTCCTCTTCGCTGGAAGCAATGCCTACTGGTTCCCATTCATCAACGTTAGTCTCTTTAAATAGCTAGCTCGTGCAGATACTGACAATGCCTATTAGAGTCCCCCAGATGTCAAGATAGCGATGCAAACTGCCGTCAAGGCCGGACAGAAAGTGATTCGAACATGGGCATTCAACGACAAGAATGAGACATTCGTCCCCGGCGGCCTCCCACAATATGGCGGCGAAGGTGCCGGAGCTTCACCTGTATACTTCCAATCATGGAAAGATGGAAAGGCTACAATCAACTACGGTCCTAACGGTCTGCAAGCTATGGACAAAGTCGTCAAGCTCGCCGAACAAACAGGCGTCAAGCTTATCATGGCTCTGACAAACAACTGGGCCGACTACGGTGGCATGGACATGTACACAGTCAACCTGGGAGGAAAATATCATGACGACTTCTACCACGTCCCTAAGATCGTCAAGGCCTTCAAGAAGTACGTCAAGGCCGTTGTGTCCCGCTACAAAGACTCACCTGCGATCTTTGCCTGGGAACTCGCCAACGAGCCACGCTGCAAAGCAGACGGTGTGCGTAACCTGCCGCGCTCAGAAGGTACGAACTGCTCGTACGTTATGATGGATGCGTGGATTGCGGAGATGGGGAAATACATCAAAGATATTGATGAACATCATATGGTTACTTGGGGTGGAGAGGGAGAGTTCTTCTATGAAGGCGCGGAGGATTGGGCGTATGCTGGCTCGGATGGAGGGAATTTCTATGCTGAGTTGGCGATCGATGAGATGGATTTCGGGACATTCCATCTCTACCCTGATTGGTGGAGTAAGACTGTTGAGTGGGCCAATCAGTGGATCATCGACCACGGTAAGGCGCAGAAGAAATTGAAGAAGCCGGTTCTGTTCGAGGAATATGGGTTCTTAAATCCGGCTGATAGGCTGGCGTGGTTGAACCGCACAGTAGCGGCGAATGAGACGAGAGTGGCGGTCATGAGCGAGTGGCAGAGGTTGAGCTTGAAGTATGAGATGTCAGATATGTATTGGCAGCTCGGGCTTTGTGGTTTGAGCTTCGGGTGCAGTACGAATGATGGGTTTACAATTTATGTGAATAATACAGAGGAGGCGAAGCCGTTGATTTATGACCATGCGAAGAAGGTAAATGCTGCGAATACGAAGCTGAGAGATTGAATGAGGGAACTAGAATGGTTTCGGTCTTCAAATATGTACATAATTTGGTAAATATATTCATCTGGTAATGATTAAATCTAGGTGTCAGAGGTGATATATTTTGTTTTCTATCCTTGAACCGTCAATAATATGAGTATAAAATCGCAGAGGGCCTGGTGTATGTACAATTAAGTACTTAAGGTATTTGTGGTACCGACAATGACTTTGTATGTACAAACAAATCAATAGTCAGAAATTTCAGGACCTTTGGTCTCATTTCTCTCACCTACTGCCCTGTCCGAAATCAGTGATTGTACACATCTAAAGGGAAGGGTAAGACGTACCATCGAAAGCAACTAAGAACCTACTAACGCAGTTATAACAAGCAACCTGTAAAGCTATTTATCGGTTACTCGGATCTCCAATTTCGAAACTTTTAAAGAACAGCCTAGTAACTCACCGTAGCTGTAATCTCCACGACCTCCTACTTACTAAACAACCTCTTCAACTCCCCAAAAACCTCCTCCCTAACCCTAACATCCCTTGTTATCGCATCCGTACACCTCATAACCCCCCACTGCTTCTTATTTAACACACCCTTATCCCCTTCCTTATTAAACTCCTTCCTCCCTAAAACCTTCAACCTAACATCACTCACGCCCCCCGCCTTCACAAGCGGCGTATAGTACAACTACTCGTACCACGCCTCATTAATAACCGCTACGCGATAGATGTCTATCTCACGGATATCGTCGGGTAAAGAGGTCTACGTGCGAATAGCGCTAAGGAAGCTGTTCCAACCGTTAGCGATAGGTAGGGAGTACAAGAGGGTAAGGTCGAGGGCTTAAAGGGGGCGGGGGAAACGCCGAGCTTTGACGCGGGTGACGATAGCTTTAAAGGTAGGAGAGGTGATAGTACTAGGGTCAATGTAGGGAATACGTATTATTCTTAGGGGTATAGTTGTTATTATTTTAGTAGGAGGTAAGGGTCGGAAATGTCTAGGGGTAGGTGTATAGGGTGGGATTCGGCTTGATAGATGTGATATCAAGTCAATCAGAAGGAGTCGTCTGTGATATGCTTTGATATAAGAAGATGCTTTTAGAAAGGAAAAAAGGATGATATTATAGAAAAGAAAACGGAGAGAGATATAAAGCTGTCCTGGCAGTTGCGGGGGTTGATTGCGCTAATCGAGGGGTCAAGGGTAAAGATATTACAGTATTATACCCGGTTCGGATTCTAAATTACAGTACAGTAAGCTTAAGTTACCTAACGCTCGCTCACCTCACACGACAAGCTTCCGACTTTTCAGGCTCATACAGTACTTCACAGCATTGCGTTGCATCCTGTAACGCGCGTCAAACATACTTTTCATACCTACCATCCCAGCCCTCACATCCCGCACGTTCTGGATATGGACAGGTTCATGTTTTACCCACTCACTTAGTCATTCATTCTCGGGCCTCTAAAGCTAAGGTACCTTAGACACGGCTATCTCCCACCCCTTTCCTAACTGAATCGCATTATCCGCCGCATTGCGCGGTGCGCGGCGCGCGGCAGTACAGTACAGTACAGTACAGTATGAGCACTAGCACATCGTCAACCTTGGCACGGTGGACCGATGAGGAGCATCAAATTCTCGTCCAACTGACTAACGACCAGATCGAGCTGGAGTCGCATGATCACACCCAGGAAATCTCGTGGGCTGAGCACTGGAGGCAAGTTTCCGCCAAGCTTCACGAGTCGGGATATAGCCGGACCAACACCGCTTGTCAGAGCTACTGGAAGCGTGTCGTCGAAACCCAAAAGGCTAACGAGGAAGCTGCTGGGCCGAGATGGGATGATTCTGAGCATCAGATTTTGCTGGGGATGACTGAGGGTCAGCTCGCCCTTGAGAGAGAGGACCCCACTGCCGTGATTCCATGGCCCAAGCATTGGAAAAGAGTGTCGATTCGTCTTCAGGAGAACGGGTACAACAGGACGCCAAATGCTTGCGCCGCCTACTGGTTGAAGGTTGGATACGATTTCTCAGTCGACAACTATGAGCCGGTGCCCGAGATGTCAAGGTTTCGGAAGACTGATAATGCCAAGAATGAGGTTGAGGTTGAGGTTGAGATTGAGGTCGAGGATGAGGATGAGGATGAGGGTGTGATGGGACTAGGGACCGAACCTGACGAGCAAGTTTCAAGGCCAAACCAGGTCAGCGTTGACGACTCGGTATCGTCTTATTCCAGAGATGGGGAAGTGCTGCCAGAGGTACTTCCGGAACCTAGGACCATTTTATTATCGAATGCAACCTCAATCTTCACCCCATCCATCACCCCAGCTCCGTCGGAAAAGGATCCATCAGAAGATGAGTCTTATCAACCACGGCAGCGTGAGTTACTTTCCCAGATGACTCTTGCATCATACTAATGGCACACGAGATGCTCCTACAAAGAGTAAGATGTCTCAAACTCCAACAAGACCCGAGGCGACAACACCAAAAGCTCGGTCTCCGAAACTGCCCATGAGAAGAGGTTTTCGCTTTACGGCAGAGCAAAGAGCAGTGCTGGAGGCTCAGGTCGCAAATCATGGGCCCTATCCAGATAGCGATCGAAGGGCTGAGCTAGCCTGTGATCTCGGAGTGGAGGAAAAGACTATCAGAGTAATCAAAACTTCCTGCCCCACATCAATATCTAGATCTAACGGGTCTTAGAACTGGTTCATCCACCGTCGATCACAAAACGGTCAGAGCATCTTCTCGGGCATGAACACCCCAGGGTCGAATAATCATAAGGACTCGCTTATGAGCGAAAGCTCGACTCCTGCTTCTGTACCGCCTGACTCTGGTTTCAAGCGGAGGCCATTTAATGTGGACTACAACGATACTAGTCTCTCGACAGGCGAAGACATAGGTCTCCATCATATGAAAAGACCTAGACTAGGAGACGATCATAACCACGGCTACAACGAAGGCCCACAGATCAATAATCATACTGTACACAGCAACAAAGTCACAGAAGACTTGGGAACTCAGAGGGGTTTCGGGATGAGACAATCTTCCGGCAGCTCTATATCATTTGATCCATCTCATAGCTCATCAATGGCTGGCTCATTAATCGGCCGAGAATCAGCAGCGACATCGACGTCGTCGTTCTCTCCTGTCAATTTAGCTATTGCACGGCATCATCCTACTGGCGACTTACCTATTCAAACGCTCAGACATGACCGACAAGAAGAGAACCGACCAGAGGTCAAGAAGTCTCCTTCTATTCCAACCCCGGTCTCAGGCGCAGACTGGAACCCCATTAACAGTGCCAAAGGAAGAGAACCAAATCCCATTAGCTTAGCGAGCGCCGCTTCAACACTAACACCAACTCCTCACGTAATGCCAGCTCAATACGATCATTTAATCAACCAACATCCGTATGGGAAAACTGCATCCGCAACACCACCACCACCACCAAACCCCAGCTCCAGCTCTGCATCCACATCCGTCTCCGATGCCACCAACACTAACACCACCTCCGAAAAACAATGGATGACCAGCAAAGTCCTCAGCTTCCAAACCGAAATCTCCCACCTTAACTTTGACAAAGCCTCCCTCCTACAGCGCATCAACCAGCTCGACCAGCGGCTGGACGACACCACAAACGAGGAGAACGCGCTCGAGGAGGCCAAGGAGAGGGAGATACTCGAGGCGGTGCGTCAGATTGAGGAGCGGTATAGGGAGAGGAGCGAGCTAGTTAGGGCGCAGCAGAGGGAGTTGGGCGCGGCGAGGGAGAGGGAGCTGGAGGGGTTGAGGAGGAATGGTGCGGATTTGAAGAGGAGGAGGACGGCGCTGGAGCATTTCCAGGCGTTGGTGGGGTTGTATGATGAGGAGTAGTGGGGTTCGATGCAGGGCAGATTGCATATCATCGTGCACCTGTGTGGTCGGTTTTGGATTCTTCACCAGGAATCAAATCGCACGCAGCACGACATGCAACAAAAGGGTGGAGCAGGTAATTCCTCGAGCGCGCTGGATTCGGGATTTAACTCAAGTTGGGAGTTTCCCGGCCGGATTCACAAGTCTGTATTCCCATATCTGGAGGAGGGTTTTCTTCTTACATGATTTCTTTCTTTCATTCATTCCTGTTAATTCTATTTCTATGATAGGACTTACTTTATTCCTGTCGCACCTTTTATACACCTCAAGATGCCTACCTATCTACTAATCTACTACTAGACATGTACCTACTTAAGCTCCTAATTCTTCTTTATCTCTTCATCTCTTCTAATATTCCCCTTTTTTCTGTGGGACCTTAACGATATATCTAGGTGCGCATCTCTTCAGGCAGCAGGCGATGGGGAAACAGGCAGGGCAGGGCAGGGCACAATTGTAGATTATTCAGCTTTTTAATTAAGGTACCTGGGTATTTGAACAAAATTGTAAATTCCAACTAATATTAAAAAGCAACAACAAAATTCATCGAAACTCATACCTCACTTAATATCTCCTTCAATCCCACTACCTTATTCACTGTGCCTTCAGCTTAGCCAGGCACACAAAGTGTAAAGTAGGAACCTTGGCTTTGATGATACAATCAGCTGTTGAACATTTCTCTCAAGCTAAACTAAGAAGTCGAGAATTTTTTGAATCGTGAATTTTTCAAATTAGAAACAACTCACAGTCCTGCCCCTGAAACTAAAAATGATAATTTAGAGTCTTAGTCTCTCTTTGAATTTTCAATTCTCTAAGGTATATGGTAATGCCAATGCGATTGATTGCCAGGACCACGATCTAGGTACCTAGGCAGGCACAGGAAACGATAACAAGACCGGGAAAAGGTTCTTAGGTACCTACGGTATAGTATAATACGGTACCTAGAGTAGGTACCTAAGGTAGTAGGGACATGAATCAATAAACGCACCGAACCGAACCGCATGGTTGTTCCCTTATTCTTATTTCTTACCTTTTTGCTCATCTCCCATCTCTCATCTCCCATGTCTTTATCTTCGACGACATCTCCTTCCAGAACAAAGAAGAAAAAACATGTGATTTTTCTTAGTCACCTTTCTATACCTATCTATATATGTCCATCTATATCTATATCTATATATCCCTATTATATTCCCAAGAAATGCCGCTCTGTCCCGTGTCGCGTCGTATCGGCTGGGGCCGGGTTGGGGGTTGACGGGCACCCTGGACTCATCCATACAGTCAGTAGATAATATTCATGCCAGCAATGGGCCTTACAACCCCGAAAGTCACGTCAACAGACATACCACGAGAGTGATACTCTACATATCCTTAGGGAACGGCTCTAGCGGCAAAATTAGTGACAATACGATAGGGAAATTTGATATACATTGTCTAGTACTCCTCCGCTAACGTGTACAGTATTGATCAAGGAGAAACATTACAGCATACGGAGAGCCAGGGAGGTACAGCTGTTCCTATAACTAGTTAGAAACCACGACTTTACGCGAGCCTCATCAAAATCGCGTTCCCCTCCCTCCTAGCCCCCTTACTATAATCACCTACGCTTGAATATCTCTACAATAACTGTTCTAAACAACTTCATATTTTCGGAATATTAAGTTTAATATGCCTTAAGACGTTTCCGAGCGTGTTTTACGAAGCTAAAAGGTAGGGGTAGAGGAAAAAGCGAAATAAGCTATACGCCCGAGTACCCGGACCTTAGAGCACTTCACCGTAACGCAGCTACCTATTACGCACAAAAGACGGAATAAACGACGTAAGGCGAATACTACTACTGAAGATATGTCAATTTCTGAGTCTTCAGTATAAGTTACGCGAAAGAAACAGAAGGAAATAATACAGGCGGAGGCAAATAAACTAGCCCTAGCTCCCGATAAGCCCTTAATACTAGTGGGCTCAAAGAAAGCCTCTCAGTCAGCGGCAGATACGGCAATTGTTATAAAATCCTCTCCTATTAAGCGTTAGAACTTTAAGTTAAATCCTACTACTTATTTAGATAAGCTATCGCACTAGATAACCTTCTTATTAACTCCTATAATTAATTTGGAGAAACAGCTCCTAGCTAGCTAGGCTTAGTACGATATTAACGATTCCGAGCGTCTTACTTAGGTAGAACTAAGTGATTCGATTTACCTAGAGGCTATCGAGCTATAGGCTAAAGCTAGAAAGCTCAGAGACTACGAACTCCTTGTATTACAATTCTGGAAGTGGATAAGATCTTTTAAGGTTAAAGACTCTCTAGTTATTATAATCAAGAGCTAAAAGGACTAGGAGAGAGCTGAGGCTAGCTAGAGATCTTAAAACATATCATCTTCTAAGGCTCTATTAATTATAGTAAGGGAGATATATTTCTAAGTTAATAAAAGCCGGAGAGACTATGATTCTAATAATAATACGCTATCTATAAGCTCTAAAGGGAAAGAGAAGGCTAAGGCACGACCAGAGACTATCTAACAAGTTAATTTCGCCTCTAGGCCAGCTTTAACACCTATTAATAGTGATCTATTTGAATTAGATAGTTCTCCAGCTAGTGATCTATCAGATATACCTCCCACGCTATATCTCCTTCCGAAAGAGCCTTAAACTATCACAGCCAAAGCTCGAAAGGCTATAGAGCTCTTAATTATTAATCAACCGAAACTACAGTAAATTGACAACCAATTATATAAGGTATAGCCTTATCCGAAAGATCGGTGTGAGAACTTGTCGTGCACCTGACGCACCTGAGGCACTCCCTAAGGCGCTCCAGCTAACTAGAGGCTACTTATATAACTAGAACTCCTAGAGCTTCCTCTTATAGGGGAGCTCTAGAATACCTTAATAAATCAAGACTTTTATACTATATAAAGCTCCTTCCTATAGTACACGATAGTTAAGAGCTATATTCACTTATTTAAGCTACTATATAAGTATACTACGTAATACAAGTAAAGTTACAAGTAGTGTTAAGAGATACTTATACTACTACTTAAAGAACTCCTTTAAATACCTCCCTGAACTTCCCGAAATACTCTTAATACTATTAGTTCTATAGAAAGCCTCTTTAATATATTAACGTACTTTTAAGATAAGTTAATTAAATATAAGAGTGATACTCTTAATTAAAGAAAGTAGTAGCCCTAGTAGTAGATAACCTTCCGGTACTATACTAAACTTAAAGGAATCTAGAGATTTATTAACTCTAATACTAATAATATTAGAAATATTATTAAGTAATAACTAAATCTCCTGAGTATTAACGATTTTATATAAGAGAAGACGAATAATCGCCTTAGTAAGTAGATAGTGTTATTAATATAAGCTAACCTAGATTTACTAGCGAAATAGAACGCTACTACTACTAAGGAAAGAGAGAGTATAATAGAACCGCCGGCATCTATAAGTAAGCCCTGAGAAGCTAAGTTTAAAGATATTAAGGTACTCTAGGAAGCTTAAATAAGGGAGTACTCGAATAAGCTAGCTAAATAGATAGCGCTTAATAACTGTATTTAGAACCTCTTTAACTAAGTAAATAGTACTATTAGCTAGTCTATTCTAACTAACGTAATTAATAATAATATAACCGAGGGCGCTGCAGGACTATAAGCACTAATTAGGTCTATTAAGTGTGATATAGTACCTTTAGACGCGGTAGTACTAACCTCTATTATTTCGGACTATACTAATACACTTAGCTTACTAATACGTTAAGATAAGAAGTCGCGAATTAAACCTTATATGTAGTATAAGCTATAGTAAAAGAACTTCCGTCTTACGAGAGCGTATAATATTCCTGATATATAAGAAGTATATAGTATATAAGCTTTCCTGAATATAATATTAGTTTAGTTAGAGACTTAGGCCGCTTAAGCACTCGCTGATATTATAAGAGATAATACTCTAGGATATCGGTATAATATAACACTAGAGGAGTATAGTCTAGCGTTTACGGCGAATATAGAAGAGCACTACTAGAACAGAGGCAAAGGAGCTAATAGTTTCTACGCCACGCTGATGCTAAGTAGTCGTTCTAATACAGGAGGCTCGCAAGACTATTCCGGAAGCTCTCGGAATCGCTCCCGTTTAAATCTCCAAGGAAGGCTGGACTACTGTCTCTGTAGCTCAGATTACTAGGAAGAAGCCTAGCAAGGACCGAGAACTATTATCTTAGTAAGCTAAAGGGAAGTACCCCGGAAATATCAATATAGCTACTATTAATTCAAAGCTCTTAGACCTTAAAGAGACACTCGGAATCTACGCCGCGGACTTTATTAATATTCCTTACGCACTCTTAGAGAGTACCTTAGTTAATAACTATAGCGCTTAGCACTTAGTTAATCACAAGAATAAGCTAGTTTCAAGTTCCTTTAAGAGATTAACTAATAATAACTACATAGAAGCTAGAATATAATAAATTCCAGTAGTTAGTAGAGGGAAACAAGTATTTAAGAACTCCTTAGCTAAGCTGAATAATCTAAATACTTAAGACCTATCACTTAATAATATTACTATAGTCTATGATTTCTATATTAATATTATCTTAGAGGCGTTACTAAAAGATACCGGGCTATAGTACTTAGGGAAAGATACTACTTTATAGTATAAGGAGGTTCAGATAAGCGTAGTTATTAGATAGCTAGTTTAAAAGTTCAACCTAACTTTCTTTAAATATAAGCCTTTCAGATACTCTTATCGCTCTTATAACCTAGTAACCTTAATATATACGTCTATTATAATATACCCGACTCTAAGTCGTAGCTTAAATAGGTAAGGTTTCTAATTATTAAGTTAACTACTTAAGGAGCGTTCTATAACTCCGTAACTATAACACTTACGTATCAGCTATTTAAGAGAGAGTGCTCTATAGGCGTTACTTAAAGCAAGGAGAGATATATAATTCGATAGAGTATTAAGAATCTAGTATA